GGTGATACATTGTTTTAAATTGTGAAAGCACTTGTTAATACAGATGAATTGGATAAAAGCCTGGGATTCCTACAGTTTCATGGCATAAACTGTTTTGTCATTTGGATATCAAAGGGCAGAGTGATCCCAGAAGACTAGAGCCAGCTAAATTTCTAGGGGCTGGCGATGGATCCAGAACAGAGAGGAGTTGACATTAAAAAAGCATAAAAGGGCAAAAGCGGGCCGGGCGCGGTGGCTCACGCCTGTAATCCTAGCACTTTGGGAGGCGGAGGCGGGAGGATTGCTCAAGGTCAGGAGTTCGAAACCAGCCTGAGCGAGACACCCCCCCCACCCCCCGTCTCTACCAAAAATAGAAATAAATTAATTGACCAACTAAAATTATATATACAAAAAATTAGCCGGGCATGGTGGCTCATGCCTGTAGTCCCAGCTACTCGGGAGGCTGAGGCAGAAGGATCGCTGAGCCCCGGAGATTGAGGTTGCTGTGAGCCAGGCTGACGCCACGGCACTCACTCTAGCCTGGGCAACAAAGCGAGACTCTGTCTCAAAAAAAAAAAAAAAAAGGGCAAAAGCGAAGAGGAGATGTAAACAAATGCAGGACAGAATTAAACTGGGTAAGAAAGGAAGTTGAAAACAACAGTCTGGAAAGTCAATCTAGGCTAAGCTTTCTATTTTAGAAAAGAGAGGCAGGGTCAGGACTACTCCTTCAGCCTCTCCACCCCCTCCCCCAACCCATCCTTACCTCCTTTTCTCAGAGGAAGGGAGGTTTTTGTCCCATCCATGTTAAATCCTTTCTTGTCTTTTGTTCACACGCCATCAGTTACCTATTCCCTTTTGTACATTTTGGATTCTTCTATTACTGGCTTTACTGTATAAGCATATAAAAGAAGTTGAAGTCTCTGCCTTTTAAAACAAGTCAAAACTCTCCCTTCATTTTGCATATTGTAGTTACTGTCCTGTTATTTCTCCCCTTTGCAGCCAAGCTTCTAGAAAGAGCAGTCTCCCTGGCTCATGTTCTTTTTTCTCTTTCTACTCCCTTCTCAACTCCCACAGTCTGGCTGTTTTGCCAATACTCAACTGAAAATGTCCCTGCTGAGGTTACCAATGAACTCCTTCATGTCAAAATCATTGGTGGTTTTCAGTGCAAATGTAGCTAAACTGCCTGCAACATTTACAACCATTGTCTTCATAGACCTTTATTTTTTTATTCAGTCATTTATTCAATAATTGTTGAGCACTGGCCGGGCGCGGTGGCTCATGCCTGTAATCCTAGCATTCTGGAGGCCGAGGCAGGCGGATTCTCAAGTCAGGAGTTCGAAGCAGCCTGAGCAAGAGTGAGCCCCGTCTCTACTAAAAATAGAAAGAATTAATTGGACTTTATTATTATAATATATCATATTATATTTATATATATATTATATAAATTAGCCGGGCAATAGTGGCGCATGCCTGTTAGTCCATACTTCGGGAGGCTGGCAGGAGATTGCTTGAGCCCAGGAGTTTGAGGTTGCTGTGAGCCAGGCTAACGCACGGCACTCACTCTAGCCTGGGCAACAAAGTGAGACTCTGTCTCAAAAAAAAAAAAATTATTAAGCACCTACTATACATTGGACACTGTTCTAGGCACTGTGCTGTATAGACAGATGAGGTGTTACTCCAAGGGTGTAACCAGATTATAACAGCAGAGTTATCTGGCCTGGGGCCAGGACAAGGGGCATAGTGAGCCCCACAACATTGGCTGGTGGGACAGCAAGCCCTTATTAAGGGCCACACTTTGTTTGACTAACTTCTGTGCTTGTGTGACAATCTGGATTTCAGATTGCTTACTCAAAAGTTATTTTCATCATAGTATCAACTCTCCTATAAACATATTATCTTAAAGAGTGGGTACAGTGGCTCACACCTGTAATCCCAGTACTTTAAGAGGCCTAGGCAGGAGGACTGCTTGAGGCCAGGAGTTCAAGACCAGCCTAGCAAGAACTTATCTCTACAAAAAATTTTTAAAAAGCTATGATCATGCCACTGTACTCCAGCCTGGGCAACACAGTGAAATCTTGTCTCTAAAAAATTAAAAATTAAAAAAAAAAAATCAGTCAGGTTTGGTGGCACACACCTGTAATCCTAGCTACTCTGGAGGCTGAGGCAGGAAGATCACTAGAGCCCAGGCATTCAAGGCTGTGGTGAGCTATGGTCATGCCACTGCATTTCAGCCTGGGCAACACAGCAAGACCCTATCTCTTTAAAAAAAAAAAAAAAAAAAAAGCATTATCTTCAAATTGCTGAAAAGGTGACACTTTGGGAAGAAATGACCACTCCTTATGCTCCCCAACCTTCATCCCCCTTCCTCAACTAAGCTTTCCTTATATCCTCTTGGAACTTGCTTTCTAGTGGGGTGAGACTGACATATAAATAATTAAACAATAATTTCAAAGAATTGTAAATGCTATGAAGGAAATAGAGCAGGGCAATGTGATATGAAGCCCCCGTGGGTCTGGGGGGGTGGAGAACTGGGTTATATAGTGTGGTGGAAGAAGCCCTCTTTGGAAGATGATATTTAAGCTGAGACCTGAAAGATGGGAAAGAGTTAACTTTAGTCTAACCTGGGGGGAAAACCAGGCAGAGGGAAGAGTAAGTGCAAAGGTGCTAAATAACTTGGAACATTGGAGCAACTGAGAGGGTACCCATGTGCCTAGAGCTTTGTAATACAATGCTAGTTAGAAAGAAGGAAAGAGGTGGGTCTTGTTTTATAAGATGGGAGATGTCACTAGCACATGTTTAAGTGCTAATAAAAATGATTCTGTAGAGAACGAGGAGTTGAGATGCAAAAAAGAAGGGGATCCATTACACAAGTAGAGGGTCTGCTTTCTGCTTGGATAAGAACAGAAACACACATACCTTTTAAAGCTCTTTTCCCTTAGTTTTAATAATGTTGCTCGATTCTCCCCGTCCATCTCTCATTTTTCCCTTCCAAACCGCTGTTTAACTTTGTTTGTCTGCAGGGCTCCGTCCATAGCACTCTCCTTTATTTTTTTTTTAATTGGCAAAATTAAAAGGGTAAATCTCTTCTAATTATTCTCTAAACATTTCCCTTGGCAATCTTATCCCTAACCATACCAGCCTAGAGCACTCTTGTTGGGCTTCACTTTCCACTGTCCAACTGTAGATATATATTCTATCAAATTTATATTTTCAGTTTAGATCTGGCCTCTGACCTTCTGATTTAACTGGTTATTCAATACCTCTACTTGGATGGAAACATCTTGAATTCAGCATGTCCATGGGATTCTTGGGTTCCCTAGCCCACCCCCACCCTCCCACAAAACACAACACTGAACAGAAGGGGTGCTCACTGATGGTCCAAGCTCCACCTCTCTCCCATGACCTTTACCCTGTTCTTTGATGCAAACATTTGAATTTTTTTCATTCTTATATAAAGTGTCATGGTAAACATTATTAGTGTTCATCTATATTTCCCCTTCCTAGTCATTTGAGAATATTATATTTGTCTACCTCTTTTGCTTTGGCCACTGAAATGTGAGTGAAAGTTACCCATTGCTTCTGGGTAGAAATATTTTAAAGCAGATTCACAATTCTCCTTGTTTTCTTTTTTTTTTCCCCTTTGGCTTCTTTTGTACCACGGTGATCATGTTTGAGATGTAAGATTGAAGCAGCCTGGAATGCTGAGCCATTGCATGGAGAAAAATTGCCTTGACCCACAGCAAACATTGAGCAATAAAAAAAAAAAAAAACAAACAAAAACCTTTTCTTGTATAAGTCACTAAGGTTTTTACTTTTTTTAGTTCTGAGGTGTATGCACACACACGTGAGCATGTGTGTGTTTTAGGCCACTGCACTATGATTAAATTTATCCTGAGTGATACAAATGCTATGCAAGTACATATTTAAAACAAATTTCTTTCAGCCCCTACTTCCAACTAGCTGGCCACCCATAAGCCTTCCTAAATAGAAACTCTGGGGCTGCCAATGTTCCCAAACTGTCCCTCTTCAACTGTCCCCAATTTCAGTAATTATCATCACCATCCTCTTAGTCGCTTAGTCCAGAATCAAAAAGCAGGAACTATCATAATCCTTCCCTTTTCTTTTCTCACACAGTCTGATCACGAAATTTTCCTATGTATGTCTCAAATATGTCCTGGAGCTCTGCAATAGCCTTCTTCCTATTCCTGCTTCTGGTCTTGGGATACATATAATGCCATCTTACGGTACAAAATCAGAAGTTAATAAAGCATCTATAGTAAAAATTCTGCCTCCTGCCCCTGTCCCCCAGCTACCCTGTTCGTTCTTGTAGGCAACCAGAATGACCCGTTCCTTGTATATCCTTGGAGAGATATACTCTGCACATAAAACAAGTCTACATTCCTCTCAGAATAATATTGTTTTGTTTTTTTGGGGGGTGGGGGGGAGACAGAGTCTGGCTCTGTTGCCCAGGCTAGAGTGCCATGGCGTCAGCCTAGCTCACAGCAACCTCAAACTCCTGGGCTCAAGCAATCCTTCTGCCTCGGCCTCCCGAGTAGCTGGGACTACAGGCATGCGCCACCATGCCCGGCTACTTTTTTCTCTATATATTTTTAGTTGGACAATTAATTTCTTTCTATTTTTAGCAGAGATTGGGTCTCACTCTTGCTCAGGCTGGTTTCAAACTTCTGACCTTGAGCGATCCGCCTGCCTCGGCCTCCCAGAGTGCTAAGATTGTAGGTGTGAGCCACCGCGCCTGGTCTGAATAATATTTTAAAAATACAAATCTGACCATATTTTTCCCAGTTTAAAGCTTTTCGGTGCCTTTCCATTACAGACTTTTGAATGCGTAGGGCCCTGCTTTGGCGACCTGCTCCCCTTCCCTCTCTCCCACTATGCTCCAGCCCCACCAAGCTGAGCTCTCTGCCACCTCAGGGTGTTTAACCTGCACTGTTCCCTTTGCTTGAGAGCATCTTCCCCAGATCTGCACGTGCTAACACCTTCCTTAAATATTATCTCCTCAGAGAGCGCCAGCCTGTTCCTCTCCATCATCGTCTTCCACTTGTCACCTTGGAAGTGTCTACTGCAAGCAGTCATCATGTTTATTGGTATGTGTACTTCATTGATCGTCTCCCACCTTAGACTGTAAGTTCCGTGAGAGCAGAAACTGTGTTTTGTTTACCACTCACAGGATACTCAGCCCCTAGTTCTGTGCCTGTTGTAAAATAGGCACACAGTAAACATTTGGTAAATGAAGGAAGAAAGGAATGGGAGAGAAACTGATGGAAAAACCTGTGCCTCAGAGTGGGAGTGGGAGTGGGGGTGGGGTGGGCGGAAGCAGATGAAACTAAAAAGAGAAACTAGGCCGGGAGGGGTGGCTCACGCGTGTAATCCTAGCACTCTGGGAGGCTAAGGCAGGCGTGTTGCTGGAGGTCAGGAGTTTGAGACCAGCCTGAGCAAGAGTGAGACCCTGTCTCTACTATAAATAGAAAGAAATTAATTGGCCAACTAATATATAGAGATAAAATTAGCTGGGCATGGTGGCACATGTAGTCCCAGTCACTAGGGAGGCTGAGGCAGAAGGATCGCTTGAGCCCAGGAGTTTGAGGTTGCTGTGAGCTAGGCTGACACCATGGCACTCACTCTAGCCTGGGCAACAAAGCGAGACTCTGTCTCAAAAAAAAAAAAAAAAAAAAAAGAGAAACTAGCTTCAGCTATTTAAGCAGGCAAGTTTGGCCTCCATATTGCCTGCCCCTGCCCCGCATGGGGTTCCAGCCCAAGCTTCCTCACACTGGTGGCTGGCGGTGTCTCTGGTCAACCCAACCAGAAGAAGAGGGCTGAGGAAAAAGGAGAGCAGAGCTTCACTCCCTTTAATTACCACCACCTTCTCCCAAACAGTTAAAGGTTCAAGCCCTTTAACTGTTTGGGAGAAGGTGGCAGTAAGCACAGATCACTCCTTTGCCAGAACTTGTATTTTGTTACAGATGTTTAATAACTGATTTAAACAGAAATGTTAAACAATCACCTCTTCCTTTGTTTTAGGGACCAAAAAGTTCCTGTATTACAACCAAGTACAGCCAGAAGAAAAGACAGTGATTCTCACATAGAAACAGCAACATGTTTATAAGGAAATATTAATGCCACAATCTTCAATCAGTATCGGCTTCTGCCTTATATGTTTTATTTTTTTTTTTTTCTTTTAATGTGACCTCTGGACTGAACACCTTATATGTTTTAAAATAGCACGTTATTCTTTTCCTAATCCAAAGAGTAATGCCTCATATAATTATAAATAATAGAATACTAAAATAATCTTAAAAGGATAAACTATGGAAGTAAAAACCACATCCATGGAGCAAGCCTTTTATTTCTAAATCGCAGAAGCGCTAATACATCTGCTTTCATCTCTCACTCTCTCCTTGGAAACAAAAAAACAAAAGCCTCATTCATCTCTACTTTAATTGCGCCTTCTGAGTTTATTTCTAGATACCTGGATCACGCGATTGGATTAGCTAGGTAACATAACCCAGCCGTTTCGCTTTTATCTCTTACCAGACTAGAGGAGAAAATCCAAACTCCTTAATGCCGTATACAAGGCTCCTGTTTATCTGGCCCCCGTCCACCTTCCAGCGTCATTTCTCACCACTTCCTTCCCTTACACACTTAACTGAGAACTTGCTGGAGAAAGGTCAGGGCTCATCTGTGTGTTCTGATGGTCTAGACCTCTCCTACTTACCCAAATACTTCTGGACCAGGATATAGAAGGATGCCCAGGCCTCCTGGTTTTGGACATGGTATAGCCTTGAGAGAATGGGTTAAAGGAGCCCGCTGTGCTGATTTACCACAAATTGATAAGCTAGGAAGTGAATTCAGCTGGAGAGGGTAGGCTTGACTATTTTGATCAACACATGGAGATAAGAACTGTCAAGTGTTGGGCAGTGTCACTAGTTCACAGGTGCCTTGAAGAGACCCATAGCTGGTCTTCCTTCTAAACAGTTTCCAACTTGTAGCACTGGTTGGCCAGGGACTTGGAACATTCTTTAACATCATCTAAAGGGTGACCTTTAGATGCTCCTCCTGCACTGCCTAGAGCTCCTCCCTGACTGGGATGGCCGTGGGTAAAAATGAAGTTGCAGAGAAAGAATATGTTCTCACTGGAGGCTCACTGAAAGTCAGTGCAAACAAATTCTGCAATAGATTATGAGGTGTTCAACTTACCCTGGCCATAGGAAGTATAACATCAGAAGTACTTCTCCAACTCAGCATGTTTATGTTCAGCTGTAAGTATAGTTCTTTGTACATTCCTGTGAATCTATAATTATTTCTAAATAAAAAGTTTTAAAGGAGTGAGGAGGTGTCTCAGAGCACCTGAAGCATTCCCAAACAATGCTTGGGGAATGGCCTTGAAACTAGAAGATCCTGTGCAAAAACAGTACCTCAATGTCCAGGCCCAGGGATATTCCTGAAGAAAAGGATGAAGTGGCCTAACTTGGTCAGCATATTCAAAATGGATATGGAAGTTAAGAGGGCCTCCAACTCCCTGAAACTCTCTGTTAGCATCTAAGTGAGTCCCCAGCCCCTTTTCTGGAGACCAGCAGGTACAACAAGCAGGCAAGCAGGTCAGTTGTAATAAGCCTCAGGAATAGGCCCAAAAGCTCAGGAAGCTCTGGACATCTTCCATGATTTGATAACTGCCATTCTCAACCATGTGGTCCTTACTCAGCATCACTGACTGCAGCTTAATCCTGTCGTCTGTCAATCCTGGATTGGGTCTGGCACTCTTCACTCTTTTAAGTACTTGGGATAGGTCTCACAGAACAAAACAAAGAACCCTGCCCTGGTGGAGCTTATGTTCTAGCAGAGGAGAGGAGGCAGGAAGAGTAACAATAATAAGTAAATTATAGAGCATAGTAGAAGGTGATAAAAAGAGCCAAGGATGGGGACCAAGAATTCAGGAGATGGTGTGACATGTGGGAGAGGGAATGTTGACTACTTCTCTGAGTTCTTAAAGTGTGTGCTTATATGGGAAATCAATCCTCTATTTGAATTTTCTTTTCCTACTATGAAATTCTCTACCACACTATTCCTTTCTACTTCTTCCTGATCACTCTCTCTTCATCCCTTCCCCTTTTATTTTAGCCTTCCTCTTTGCTCTCTCTTCCATTAATTTCCCCTTCCTGGAAGCCATTCTCCTAAGTGAAGTATCTCAGGAACAGAAAAGTAAGTACCACACATAGACACTTATAAGTGGAAGCTGAATGATGGGTATACATGGTCATACAGATTGGTATAATGAACATTGGAGACTCAGAAGAGGGGAGGGTGGAGGAAGGTGAAGGATCAAAAATTATCTATCAGGTACAATATGTACTATTCAGGTGACAGGTATACTAAGAGCCTTGACTTCACGACTATACAATTCATTCATGTATCAAAAAAACACTTGGGCCCCTAAACCTATTGAAATAAAATAACAGTAATAAAAACCATTACACAAAATAAACTGGAAATATTTGGGTAAGAATTATAAGATTTAACTGAAATATTTGTACATAACATTGTCTATTACATTGATAAATCTGCAAAAAGTAATTATATACAAATAGAAGTAAAACTATAAAGATTACATCAAAATGGTGACTGATGAGGGTAGTGGTAAACTTGGAATGTTACTTGTTTGTTTATTTGAGACAGGGTCTTGCTATGTTGATCAGGATGGACTCCAACTTCTGGGCTCAAGCAATCCTCTCACCTCAGCCTCCCCAGGAGCTGAGACTGTAGGTGCGCACCACCACACCATGCTCATTTTTATTATATTTAATAGTTTTATTCAGAAAGGACACAACTGAGTAGTTTAAAAGGCAACTTTGCATTTATTTAAAAATATGTGCAAATATTTCCAAATGTACATGATTTGATTTTTTTTCACTTATTGAAACTCATATACAATATTGAAATCTTATTCTACAAGTTAAAAATATAACAAAAGACAGCTTTAAAGTAAAATTTCCATTGACAATACAGAATTAAAAGTATGCTTACTATTCACAAAATGCATAGACAAGACAGTATTCTAGAGTGTGCTTGAGAACAAGTTAAACATGTGGTCTCATCTAGTCACAAATGGACCCAAAATTTACAAAACTCTAGCCTTTTTTACCGTATAAAAATTGTGAAATGTAACTTTGGTATTTCCTTTAAAAAAAAATGAGCAGTACATATTGCCTTTATTGAACAGAGGTATTCATTCATTTTCTGCAAGACTATTACATACTCTTCAGATATATGATTTATTGCCATTAATATTAATAAGTAGGTATTGCTATAGATAACCAACAATATAATCCTGGTTATGCTGTGACCAGATATCAAACAATTTGATATAGTCACTGATCATATTCCTTCAGAAGTAGATGCACTGTTTCTGATCATCTTTAATAAGAAAAACAGAGATAAGACATTCTACCTTTGGGCAGGGCCTACGACAGAACTTGAGTATGTGTGGATTTTAGTATATGTGGGAGTCCTGGAACCAATCCCCTGAATAAACCAAGAGTAGTTCTCAATCATTGTCTTGATTAGAGACGTGGGTATTTATTTTTCTCTAGAATGAAGTACTTCATTCACTCCAACGTGACATATATGCAAATAGTCCATTATGACCAAAGCCTATATGTTATACATAATACCCAGAAAACTGTTGGCACTCAGAAAAGATTAAGTAAAAATAAAAGATCTAAAATAAAAATTTCTGGCTTAAAATACTGACTTTTAAAAAGCCTATGTATTTTCAACATATATTCCAAATCAATTTTTTTATATGATGTTCATATAGAATGCTTTGTCTTTAAAAACTCATTTTAAACATAGACTCCTGTAGGCAGTTCACTTTTAGATTTTTTTTGAAAAGTGGTCAGAGTTCAGTTAAAGATTACATACTGTTAAATTCTATTTTATTTATTTATTTTTCTTGGTACTTTAATGGATGCAAACATACTGCAAAATATTACAGAAAAAATAAAAACTCATTTTAATCACCATGGTCTTATAAACATACCAAAGATTTTTTGCTCAAAACAGTGCAGTTTTCGTATCAGATTCTAAATAGACCATAACTATATATACCTCCATGCAACGGTTATTTCTATAGACTAAGGTAAACTAAAACTATATTTTGAAAGTAGAAATAATCTGTCATATATTATCTTTGATCTCAACTGTGATTCATGATTATATCAAAACATGATTTCTATAAACCATGAAAATCTTATCGATTCACTTCTCTGCATCAGTGTTTCTAAAAATATATCAGCCTAGTTCTGTAGCTTTTAAGTAAACCATTTCCAGGATCAAAGAGATCCTGAATTCTAGTTATATATCTGGTTACCATATAACAACACTTCATTATTAAGTACTAACCAAACTTGCATTTTAAAAACTTTTGAATTGTTTTCCAAAAGTGATTTTTGCAGGTTTTGGTTGATGAATACATTAATCATTACATTTCAGCATTTACTGAATGTGACACTGTGATGAGTGCAGCTCATGGCTACCATGTTCTGTCAAAAACTGATTTTTCTCTGTGGTTAATCATTCCTGACTCGCCTGACCATAGAGGCTGTTGGGTCAGCACTCACTCCAGCTGAACAGGGACACGCCAGTACCCCACATGAACACTGTTAGCAAATCTGTCGTGAGGGATCAATGGCATATGAAAACATCAGCAGATCTGGACATTGCTAAATTGCCTGAATAATTCTCCCTACCGTTTTGCACATTTTAGAAGTAAGCTGTTTATTTTACAAATAAAGCTTAGGAATAATTTTAGTGCTTCTCTTTCAATGGCTAAGGGGTTAAAAAAAAAAAAAAATCAAAGATTTAAAAAATGCCATAAAAGAAGAATGAGTGTCTCAAGTCTGAAGAAATAGTCAATATAGAAAATGTTTGCGTAGAATGACATTGGTGGGTCAATTTCGTCTTGCAGTCCTTGCTCAGAGACCTCCTGAGCCTGCTTTCAGGAAGCAAGTTTACGCATAGCCTGTGGAAGCAAGCAGTAAACAAAGTGTTGATGCAACTGAATTCTCCTTAAGTCTACATTATTTTTTTAGCAAATATGTTTTTATAGAATTGGTTGCTTACTTTTACTCATCTTAGGTGTATATCGTCACAATAGAACTAGGGTAAAAACTTAATTTTGTACCTCATCATACTTTAATGGGATTTATTTCAAAGCAGTGATTACTATTTATTGAGCACTTACTATGTACAAGACACTGTTCTTGTTAATTTGCATGCATCCTTTAATTTTTGCAACTCTGTGGTATTATTTCTACATGCGTGAAGATATGAAAATTAAGACAGGGTAAGTAATTTGCCCTGGGCTGCACAGTCAGTAAGTAGCAGAACCAGTACAAGCACCCAGGTCTGGCTGGCTGGTCCTAAAGTACACACTCGTGAAACCACTGTGCTATACTGCTTCACCGTCTGTAGCAACCCTATCTGAATGATTCTTTTATGTGGCAATCAACAAATATCCTATAATGGGGTAGCTTCTTAAGTTCTAATTTTTTGTTTGTTTGTTTGTTTAAGACAGAGTCTCACTGTGTTGCCCAGGCTAGAGTGAGTGCCGTGGCGTCACCCTAGCTCACAGCAACCTCAAAATCCTGTGCTCAAGGATTTTGTGCTCAAGGCGATCCTTCTGTCTCAGCCTCCCAAGTAGCTGGGACTACAGGCATGTGCCACCATGCCTGGCTAATTTTCTCTCTATATATTTTTAGTTGGCCAATTAATTTCTTTCTATTTTATAGTAGAGACGGGGTCTCGCTCCTGCTCAGGCTGGTTTCGAACTCCTGACCTTGAGCGATCCACCTGCCTCGGCCTCCCAGAGTGCTAGGATTACAGGAGTGAGCCACGGCACCTGGCCTCTTAAGTTCTAATTTTGATATATGAGCTTTTACTCAAATTAAGCCTACCCTATATTCATAGAGTCACAAACTACTAAAGCTGAAAGGATTTCTCGGCTCAGGAAGGGTTTTCCTGGGCTCTCTCTAAGCTGGTGGGCTAAGATGCAGAGCCTGTGAATTTCACTCTAGCAATACATTTCCACCACAGAAATTTCTGCCTGTCATCCCTACTGCATCGTTTTACCATAGGGGGTTGAATGTTTTTCTCTTGAACATTTTTATCAGGACCTGGAAAAAGGCAGAAAAGTCATCTTTATCAGATTTGTATATGACACCAACGTGGCTGGAAGAGGGAGTCCATATGTTGGATGGTAGATTCAAAATGCAAAACTATGTCAATAAACTGGAACAAACAAGATACAATCTACAGAAATATGTGTAGTCCTGCATTAGGGTCAAAAAACCAATCAAATAAGTATAAATGGGAAGCCCTGCTAGAGACTAGTTTGTGTAAAAATGCCCAAGTCTTTAGTTGACCCCTGCTCAATAGAAGCCAAGATTTTGATGGAGCTATTATGAAAGTAAACACATTTTTAATTTGACGAGATCAAGGAAGGTCATGGTTGCGTAATCTCCATGCTGACCTGACCACATTGGAATTTTGTGTCCCCATCTTGGCCAAAGCAGTATTGACAAACCGTGTATCTGTGAGGAATGCTAGACGGTATTAGAGGAGTCCTGCCTGGGAGGGATTCTGGTGGAGACGTGAGAGCTGCTCTCAAATATTTGAAGGGCTATTCAGTGGAAAGGTTTGTGTTGACAAAGAAGGCAGATTGAGCTCAGTTTCACTAGGTGGTTATTACAGAAAGGCCAAATTCAGTTTTGTAAGCACAACTAACATTTATAGTCCATGTAACAAACTCCCTTGAGAAGTCACCGAATGTCTAGAAATGGTCACGTGAAAGCGAAGTGAACGTCCATCAGGGATGGCGTGGGAGGGAGTTCTGCATGGACTAGGATACTGGACTACTTGATTTCTAAGAAATCCTTCAACTTTAAACCATACTCCCTATCCATGGCCTTGGAAGAGAACTACGTGGAGGCTTAGGTATAAAATCAGGACCTGTGTGTTAGCTGCTGCCAGTAGCTGATCATCATATATGCCCGGGGCCAAAGGTCCCCAAGTGCTTAATTTCTTCAATGGAGAATTCTTGTTTTCCATTTTCCCCTTCTATGAAGCCACCGTTTTGGTATTTTTTGGAATTATTTTCCCTGAGAGTTCTTAATCAGATATATTCACCATATGCATTATACTATTCAAGATATAATCCAAGTTATTTTCTTCAGGAGAAAATAATCATACCTCATCCTGGACATCAAGTTCTTCTTCAATCAGCTCTGCTTCCATTAATCCAAGATGATCTTTACAGTCTTGAATGAGGGTGATCTTAAAAAAAAAAAAAAAAAGCACAGAGTGGAAATATAATATAATAGCATCAACCCACCGGATACTCCACTGAAAATGATTTGAAGCTTTGCTGGTGCTTCTCATCATGCTTTATATACTTCAGAGTCCTCTTCAGCTTTCTCATTCTTTCATATTTCCCACCTTAGAACTTTCCCTGTATCATTTGTTCACATTTAAATGTGAACTGGCATAATTCTCCATTGTCTAAACTCCTTTTCAGCTCTCCAACCTCTGAAGTGTAGGCCTCTTAACAAGTAACCCCTTCTGCCTAAATGATTGTGCATTCAGTGGTGTTTCTCTTTCAATGGCTAAGCTAAGAGCACTTAGTACAGCCTGGAGCATGCAGTGAATGCACAGTGGAGGGCTTGTGACTGGCGGCAATAAGCACTCCCAAATTGAATGGGATGGAAATTAATTTTATTGTAGATGGAAACCAACGTCTATGGATCAAGTTGGTTGTTCAGGAAAGTTCTGCTTTTTAGGGGGTAGTAGGTAATTTAATCTTCTACACAGAGGAAGCCAACAATTTGGGCTTTGTCATATGCTTAAAATTTCCATAGCATCTCCAAATGTATATGTAGGCTAGAATGATGTTTTGAACTTCTATTTAGCTATTTTTCATCTCAAAGATAACCCAGTCCATTATTTCCAAATGAGGTCACAAAAAAAAAAATGAAAAAAAAAAATAACCCAATCCTCTTTGCTAGTGTGGAAATGAATTAGAAGATTAAGTCCCTGTGCAAGTGGTCTTAACATCATGGGAAAAGGAGAGGCTGGGTGTAACTACAAGTTGGGGCTATCCTGGGATAGTCCTGAGATGGTAAAATAAAGGGATATGGAGAGGGTCATATCACTGCAGCCACAATATCCATCATACATAATGACATTTCCTGAAGGAAAAGAAGGTACACAGGTCAGGCAAGGTCTATCACCGTTTACCATACATCTACCATATGCAGGGCTTTGTGCTAGACCCTGAGGAGATGCAGAAGTATAAGGTTCCAGATCTCACAGGCCACCAGTAATGCTCAACCCACTATCCGATGAACCAGTAAGTATATGATACAAGCATTCACTTGTACTCTGTCTAACATTTAGTCAGGGTCAAAAAAAAAAAAATCTATCTAAGCACCGGGCATTGTGGCTGATGCCTGTAATCCCAGCTACTTGGGAGACTGAGGTGGGAGAATCACTTAAGCCCAGGAGTTAACACCAGCCTGGGCAACATAGTGAAACCCTGTCTTAAGTTTTAAATAAATAAATCTCAGCCCCTCACAATACCTCCCTGATTGCAAACAAGATTGAGTCTAACCTAGTAGGTACACTGTTGGTTAGTGGTCTTTATAACATTCACGGCCTAAGATCTTAGATAAGAATGGGTGTAAACAAATAATAACTATTTTCATGTTAAGAAAGAACTTGATACCTTGGCTCCAGTTTAGTTTTTTTGTTGTTGCTTTTTGGTAACACAGAATCTCACTCTGTCACCCTGGGTAGTGGTGTTATCACAACTCACTGCAACCTCAAGCTTCTGGGCTCAAGTGATCCTGATCCTCCTGCTTTTGGGACTACAGGCACAAGCCATGAAGCCTGGCTAATTTTTCTATTTTTAGTAGAGATAGGGTCTTGCTCTTGTTCAGGGTGATCTTGAACTCCTGAGCTCAAGCAATCCTCCCACCTCGGCCTCCCAGAGTGCTAGGATTACAGGCATGAGCCACTACACCTGGCCTCAGAAGAAAATTTTTAAAAAAGAAAGAAAAAAGTTTTTGAGTTTTCAAAGACAAGTAGTTTGCACGAAGGTTTTCTTGATAGATTTGTGGTTTCACTACTTTTTTCCTTTTTCATATTTAAGATCCACACCTTGGTAGTTAGGGCTAGTCTGTTCTCCAGTAACATTAAGCGGAATAGTCTCTCCACTAATATTATCTGAAAAAGGATAATGTAATATTGTTTCTAAATTAGTTTTACTTCAAACATCAACTTCCAATCTACAATAAGGATCTACCTATTCTAATTTTTTTAAATAGAAGCAATTTAAAATATAATAATAAACATAATGTCACTGGAATCATTATTATTATATTTTGATATGTATATGCTTTAGTTTCCCAAATTCACCGTGAGAGAGTAACTGACAGGAAAATTGACAAAATAAGACCTGTAGGAAATCAGGATCTATTCTATTTCGTGAGGACAAATTAACCTTGGGGCTTATTTGTCGCTTTAATTTTTTTCTTCTTCAAAGATCACTTATGACTTGATCAATACTATTTAAAGACATTTATAATTCAAGGGTTTCTAGACTACTGAGAATTTAAGTTGCATTTATGTACACAAATCACAGAAGATCCAAAATTCACTGCTATATTCTATTTTTTTTTTTCTTTTTTTTGAGACAGGGTCTCACTCTGTTGCCCAGGCTGGAGGGCGGTGGCATCATCATAGCTCACTGTAACCTCCAACTCCTGGACTCGAGTGATCTTCCTGCCTCAGTCTCCCAAGTAGCTGGGACAACAGGTGTGTACCACCACACCTGGCTAATTCTTTTCTATTTTTTGCAGAGATGGGGTCTTGCTATTTTACACAGGCTAGTCTCGAACTCCTGGTCTCAAGTGATCCTCCCACCTTGGCCTTCCAGAGTGCCAGGATTATAGGCATGAGCCACCACACCTGGCTTCAGTGCTAAATTCTAAAAAGGCATTATAGCTAATGCCATTTTTATTAGTAAACTCACACATCATAGAACTATCATGTACTGAGTACTACCAGGTACTTTGCTGTAAACTATCTTATTTGTCTTCACATCTACTCATCATGGTGAATGTTTTTTACTCCCATATTCGTGATGAAAAAACTGAGGCTCCAAGAAGTTATGCAGATAACCTAAAATGGGATTCAAGCCTAGATTTGTGTAATTTTTGCCATTTGCAGAAATCACGAAAGGTTAGGAAAGACATGTATGTAGAAAGTTTAAATATTTACCGTTTCTAAAATGGAATCTTGACCCTCTTGGGATTTCACCTGGTTCTGTAGATAGAGTATAGCGTCGTGGACAGTCAGAAAGAATGTGTCCTTTTTAATGTTGTCATCAAAGAATCCACACTGTTCCAGCTTTTCTATCACATGATCTTCAAAAGAAAGAAAATATTTAGTCTCTAGGAAAAGATATTTTTGTAGCATCAACCAATACTAAGGTTTTGTAGCTCCTCCTTTTATTTTTTTATTTTTTTAGGTCTCATTTCCAAATGTGACCTTGCTGTAAACTGAGTTTCTTTTCCAGTAGCACACAAAATGGTTATCCCATAATGGCTGTAGTCAGCCTTGGTGCCCGACCATGTTCCTTTTGCCAGGCCGGTGTACCCATCCTCCAGCCGCTGATGGTTCACAGCTGGGCCCTTCTCTGGAGAATTTCTCCCTTGGGCTCTGCTTCTAGAGAACTCAGCCTAAGCTCCAGCACCTCCCTACACACACGTACACTCATACACTGACACAGAGCCTCACACCCTGGAGAGTCATCTCCATAATAATACCCCCATGGGTCTGGCACCATTGTCAGGACACACGTTCCCGTATGTTGTCAGGTCTGTGGCACAAATTGGAAGTCATACCTTTCTGGGTTCACAAATGTTCTCGGAGTCATTGCTTAATGTGTACAGAGTTTCTGTTTGTGGTGATGAAAAATTTTGGAAATAGATCACAGACAATGATTGCACAACATTGTGAATGTCATTAATGCCACTGAATTAGTAGTACACTTAAAAGTGACTAAAATGGAAAATTTTATGGTACCCTATACCACAATTTTTAAAAATAGTTTAAAAATATGGGGGAGGACACTTATTCTATCTTATGGAATGAAGTGTTGCCCAATTCTAGAATTGTAAATAAAGCCAATTGAGATCTTTAAATGTGTTGTATTTTGACAGATCTGGACACCGTGAAGGGGCCTTAAGGAGGCTGCTGACCGCAGGACCCCTTGAGGAACAGAGGAAAAGGCCCCACTAATCACTTGAAGGGGCACTGTGCCTTCCTCACGGAGCCCCAAGAGTCGTGAGTCCCTCTCAAGTCTGAGTTCTGCTCTTTTTTCGCATCTGTGCACCCTGATCTATGGCTTTTGGAACACCAAGGGTTAGTTTGCTCTGTGATATAGTGTTTTACCTTGGGGTGCTAAGGGTTAATTTGTGCTGTGGCAGAGCACATCCTTTGCATTTGCCGTGACCCTGACACTGGCAGAAAAGGCTACAGTTCTAAAGGTAACTGACAGCAGTTGCAGTTAGTGGTTATTACTGCAGGGGGCTGGCTTTCGGAATTTGCAGGTATGTGGGCTCTTTTTTCTTGCACACTTAGGTAGGGGAGGATTCTGGTGTCTGACTGGGGCAGACAGAAACCAGTAAATCATTGGCTAAGTTGGTCAAGGAGATCTCTGAGCTCAAGCATCTCAGCTCTGAGAAATCCAAGATCCAGCATAACAATGGGTTTCCTAATTTCTAAGGATCTGAGTACTTCACTTTCTGGTAGACCTGCCTCTCCTTGTATAAGATTTCTGGCCCTGGGAGCTACAGATGTTTACAAAAGTGGCTCAATCTTACTAAAGCTAATTCAGAATTATGATGGCCATTACGTGGAACAGTCCAGATGAACAAGACCATTCATCTTAGCACTTGAATCCCCAGCCTCCTGAGTTACGCAGAGAGAAGGGGATTCTTACTGGCATTCAAAAGATTTAAATCTTCAGAAAGATTGAAAATGACCCCTTTGAAAGCCATTTCCAAAGGGTTTCAGCTCCGTGGCAACCAACTACCTAGAATGATTTTTAGCTCTACCGCAGGGCACTTCTCCAACAAGTGACCCCATAAAACAATTTCTAAAAATGTGTTGCCATTTGTGCAAACTACTAGGACATCGGAAAAGGGCCTGCCCCCAAAGATTTGAGGAATGCCCTCCAAAACAGGCTGTTGCCCTCTGATAATAATCTCTATATTAACGTCAGAACTGATGGGCTTTGAGGGAAGCTCTTGGAAGTTTCTGCCACTTATTCTTTGTCCTGGTCAACAAAGGGCCCTACCCTGAAGTCAGTAGTCTAATTAATCCATTAAATGTCTCTGCCTTGAATTTGTAATCCAACTAAGAAACAAGCAAGTTGAAAAGACCACCTATCCAACAAATGGCTCCAAAATAACAACTTTCTGACATTTAGCTAGCTATTTTGAAACTCTTTGTGAAAGGAATTTACATTTATAAAGGAAATCTCCACTTGTAAGGACTTCTCCCTCTCAGCACCTAAACCACTAGAAACTTTTACAATGGGGAAGACATTAACTTAAAGTTCTGTTTTTGTTTTTTGAGATGAGAGTTTCTCTATGTTGTTCAGTCTAATCTCAAACTCCTGGATTCAAGTGATCCTCTAGGGCTATAGTCCCCAACACCCAGGCCTTGGACCTGTACCAGTCGTGGTCTGTTAGGAACTGAGCCACACAGTAGGAGGTGAGCAGCAGGAGAGCAAGTGAAGTTTCATCTGTACTCACAGCTGCTCCCCATCGCTGGCATCACCTCCTGAGCTCCACCTCCTGTCCAATCAGCAGCAGCAGATTCTCATAAGAGCATGAACCCTATTGTAAACTGTGCCTGCCAGGGATCTAGGTTGCGTGCTCCTTATGAGAATCTAATGCCTGATGATCTGAGGGGGAGCTGAGATGGTGATGCTATCCCTGGGGAGCTGCTGCAAATGTAATAAATGTAATGTGCTCGAATCATCCCGAAACCATTCCCTGCACCCTCCCCAGCCCTGTCTGTGGAAAAATTGTCTTCCATGAAACCGGTCCCTGGTGCCAAGAAGGTTGGAGACTGCTGTTCTAGAAGGCTGATCCTCAGACCGCTGCTCTAGGGAAGGCTCCATTAAGACAAGAAAAACTCAAGAAATTCACGATAATGAGGAAGACACCAAAACCCATAAATGACATGCTGAGATCAGAAACCTAAAATGATGCTAGCTGAGAGTAGCACTGAAGCCCTAAGTTTTGGTCACACTCTCACCTAGGTTGACCCAGGTTGAGGGTATGACCCAAAGGGGGCAATTGTTAAATAAAAATTATAGAGGCCATTGTTTTGAACTAAGCTCTTGCTCTGGGCCCCAATGGTCCAGACTAAAAATCAAACTGGAGTCACCCATGCTAAAGTTCCAAGTCATCAAACCTAAACTAAATTGTTGTCTGACTTTCTGAGAAATTATGAGAGAGAAAGAATAGCCAACTTTCCAAATGGACCAGTTTAAACCTTCTGTTGGCATGATAATGAAGTTCCCTCTGCTATAATCATTACCTAAAAAAGGTAGCCTGACCTAACCTAATGTTAATCAGTTATTTTCCCTATTATTCTGTCTCCCTGTCCAGACTTAAAAGAAAAGTAACTTTGAAAGGGCTGACATATTCTTTGTTCTTTGCTTTTGCTTTCTTCAGTGCTTCCCTGTCTATAAGACCAACCTCTTCTGCTCAGCTCATTGGAACACTTAATCAATCTATTTTATGGAATGAAGCATTGCCTGATTCTAGAACTGCAAATGAAGCCAACTGAGATCCTTAAAGGAAAAAATAGGCCTTCAGACATTATGTGCCCACATTCTAAGGTAGGAGAAAGGGCTTAGGTGAAAGTATTATAGGTAGATATCTGGGTATATGCATTTACCTTGAAGTGATGCAAAATACACATTCACATCGATTCTTTGGAACTCTTTGACAATCTGAAAATTAAAAAGGAGAGTTTGTAACAATGAATAACTTTATCTGCCTGTAATTCAGTAGCATTCAGGAGAAATACTTTCATGGTTAATCAGGACTTTGAGGAAAGTTAATTATTGGAAAGCCATAGGTCAACCTACAGTACTGGTATGATTAGGGATGAAAAGCCCCTATCTCAAGAGATGGCAACATTCAGTGCTCAATAGCACAGCACTCTATAGCACAGAGGTGCAGAATAAATATTTGTGGAAGAAAAGAAGGGAGCATAAGAGGCTTCCCAATATAGTGCTGGCTGATTGGAGAAAAAAGCATGAATTTGTATCTTTGAGTACAGAGATGCAGGTGTAGATATGATCACCAGGTTCAGAATGTAAAAGCTGACCCAAAAATCAAGGCCTCTGTTTTGAATGTATCAATGTCAGTATCCTGATTGTGATTTTATTTATTTATTTTTTTTTATTTTTATTTTTTTATTTTACTTGGTACTCCTAGGCAGGAGTGATTGTGATTTTATACTAGTTTTATAACATGTTACCAATTGATTGGGAGAAACTGGGTAAGGAATACATAGGATCTCTCTATTATTTTATTTTAGATAGGGTCTCACTCTGTCACCCAGACTATAGTTCAATACAGCAATCACAGTTCACTGCAGCCTCAAACTCCTGGGCTCAAGTGATCCTCCTACCTCACCCTCCTGAGTAGCTGGGACTACGGGCACATGCCACCACGCTCAGCTAATTTTTTTTATTTTTTAAATTTTTTGTAGAGATGAGGTCTCATTATGTTGCCCAAGCTGGTCTTGAAATCCTAGACTCAAGTGATCCTCCCACCTCAGTCTCTCAAAGTGCTGGGATTATAGGCATGAGCCATTGCACCTAGCCTATTCTTTACAACTGTATGTGGATTTAAACTATCTCAGAATGAAAGGTTAATTTAAAAAGTTAAGACACAAGACTTATGGGCAATAATAAGATAGAAGTTGAAATTTGTGGAGGAAAAGAAATCAAGACCTCTATTCCAGTATAAAGAGTCTTCTTTAGTTTTCATAATTGTCATTATAATATTTGAAAGCAAATATTTGTTAAGTATGAGAAATACTCTGACTTAAATATGTTAAGACTCTCCCCAAAAGTAATTGATTAAACCTTTTGGCCAATACAATCTACAATGGGTCTAACCCAATACCTATAGTAAAATGCACAACAAAGAACAAGAGTATGCTTTCAAATGACCTAATAACCAGATCTGCTATGAGAAGTGGAACAGAACCGGTCAACATATTCTCACACTCTTTTGCCAAGTATAATTACTTCTCTGCCCTGCATACCTAGTAGCCACATCCTGGAATCATTTCCTACCCTTACAGAGGTAGCCAAGAAGTCCCTGCCTAAGCTAAACCTCAGTTAGGAGTCTGTTTCATATTATTACATCTGATTGCTGGTGTCTTGAACCTGCTTGCTTTTCTGCCTGACCCTCTCATACCTACCTGAAGTTTCACCTACATTTGGCACTTCAGGTGATATCCTGTTTAATCTGCTTTGGAGCACTTAATATAGTTGTTATTTACAAGATTACTAAATGTCACCTTTCCCTCTAGACTGCTTAGTCCCACGAGGGTAGAACTATGGTGATTTCATCTCTAGTTTCTTGTACCTAGCACATGTTAGGCATTTCACATCTATTATTGAAAGAATTAATGAATTTGGAGCTTTCATAACTAGTTCCTGATATCATGAATGTTTCTATCTTGCATGCTTCTCAACTTCTGCTTTGACTTCTAGGTGCCTGACCTGCTTCCTACTCTAACCTATTAATAATGATAGGTTTTTCCAGTCCTACTATGTACCTAGTATTCCTTTTCCTGGTGGTGTTTGCATAACAAATAGAAACATCATACTTAACACAAACGTTTGCCCATTTTTTTTTTATCCTCTTCATGTCTCATGTTCCATTCTCATAATAAATATTAATATTTGCTGAGGGGTATCTATGTGCCAGATAGTCTTCTAAACTCCTCACATCTATTCATCTCTTTAGCCCTCATAACAATCCTATGAAATAGGTACCATCATTACCTCTATATTACAGGTGAAGAAATTGAGGCACAGACAGATTAAGCAACTTGTCCATGGTTGGACTGCTAGTTAGTGGTGGAGCCAGGATCTCCCCAAGGTAGTCTGGCTCCAGAGCCTGTGCTTTAAAATATTACACTTGATTGCAAAAGCATTCACCTAGAAAAATTACAGAGCTCATGCATTTGCTTTTCTGCAAGACTAGATAAACCATTTCACTTCACTATTGCCAAAGCTCCAGATCTATAATTCAGAAAACCAGACTCTTACCGCCCGCAATGACCTCACTCCAACAACGTCCAGGAAGGATATAGCTCCACAATCAAGCACAAGGGTATGGATTGGTACTTTGGGAACATTCACTTTGACTGGAAGCTCAGAGTTCCAATCCACTTGAATCTCTATTTCCTTGGTTGGGATATCAAGTTCTTCTGGATCTTCAATATCTTCATCAGGCTCAAAAGCATTATTCGGTGTACCAGCATCACTTATGATGCCATTCTAAGCAAAGAAGACAGTGCCAACTTAGTTGCCATTGATTGGAAATGTCTTTTCAACCATTCATCTCAAGTTATTTAAGGGTCCTACACACATTGTTCCTTAGCAAGCAAAATATCAAGGGGGTGGACTCTTAAGGAATGAGTTTTATCTCAGCCCTAACTTTGATCTTCTCTAGGAAGAAAAAGGGAAGCACAGAGGAGCCAGAAAACTCTTAACATTTCTGGAAGATTCTGGAACATTTTTGCCAAGAAATATATTTGCAGCAGTGTCTGAGTGAAAGTTAGTAGCTCTAAGAGTTTATGAACTTACTGTCTTCTATTGTAATCTTCTGGCATTGAATTTGTGCTTATTTTGTTCCTTTCAGTAAAAATAAGTTATAAAAAAAATAATACAAATGCTATTCATCATGGGGAAAAAATTACACACTGTGTTTCCAGGGAGCCCTGCTGTTTTCATTTTATTCCCTCCCATTCCCTGTTGCCAACAAGAACAGCTCAGCTGTTCTCTGACATATATAAGACATCTGCTTGTACACATCTGGATACCAAAGGGGATAGATTTAATTTTAGACCATCTAACTGCTTTCATCAGAGAAAGGACAGAATTTAAGGGGGAAAAGAAAGATGTCTCACCTTTGTTGCCCTTAATTGTCCATTTTTTATGAGTTTCTGTATTTTCCTCAGTGCTTTCAACCTCTTATTATATACTCTAATGGCATCAAATCCAACCTTTGGAAATAAATGTCAAGTTACTTAAAATGCCTATTTCCTAATGCATATTAAAGGCAATTGTTATCTGGAAATGTTACTTCTCAAAGGGTATATTCCTTGAGACATCCAGCAAAAAAAATAAAAGCAAGGTCTGATGGAATAAATCCTCCTCCACTACCAAGCCACCCTACCCCCACCCAGACACTCAGGGAAAACAGTAGCATCCCAAAGGCTCCAAGACAGTAAAAGACAAAACAGCAAAAATAACCTTTAAGTCTGTGCTTTCCAAATTTCCCAAATTTCACAGAGCCATTTTGTTATTGCAAAATCTATGAACATTCCTCCAAACCAGTTTGCCCTGAAAATCACTTAGGGAAACACTGATCTAGAGGCAAACTCCAAGTTTGAAGCACAGCATGGTATTCAAGACCAGAATTTCCTACTTATCTATTCCACTACCACTTCTTACTCTTTGTTCCAACTGGGCAACCCTCCCCATTCTAAACATGATGCCATTCTAAACAAATGGAGTTCTTAACAAAAATAGTGAACTCTTAACACTTACTGTCCATACTGCTTGTTTGGAACTTACTCAAATTCCACCTGGATGCTTTTGTCTGGCATAGTTATTGCTATCTGGATTTTATTATACATGTTTTTTCTTTCTTTCTTTTTTTTTTTTTTGAGACAGGGTCTTGCTCTGTCACCTAGGCTGGAGTACAGTGGTGTGATTACAGTTCATTGTAACCTCTACCTCTTGGCCTCAAGAGATCCTCCCACCTCAGCCTCCCAAAGTGCTGGGATTACAGGCATGAGCCACTATGCCCAGCTCATGTTTTTTTCTGTCCCTAAATAGATTGTAAATTATTTGAGGGCAAGGATGTTATGTTATAATTCTTAATACCCCACACAAAGAGAATAGGGGAATAGAGCCTCATTCCCAATTGGAGTCCAGTAAATACTGGTAGAATGAATGAAGTCCCAAAGGAGGTTAGAAACCAAAGTCCTAGGGATTAAGTACTTACTGTGGACTTGATACATTTTTTAAAACCATCGACGTTGCCGTAAAAAATAGGACTAGAAAATCTAAGAATCTTCACTCCTTCAGGTTCTTCAATCTGGCATTGGAAAATAATTGAGATTAAACAATTTCAGGCCATTTCACGTGAAGAAAAAATAAAACCTCAGGACCCCAAAATGCATTATGCCAAAGGGAGAATGGTGCCTGGGAAACTGAGTCATGAAGTGCTGCCATCCTCTCCCTGACTCAACTCCTCAATGAGGCACAGAGGGTTTTTTTGAAGAATGGTGGGGCTTGGGTTATGACAGAGCAGATTTCTGTTAGCATGACGGGTTATGGGAGGGAGAATGGAAGCTCGGCTGGCAAAGGCGGTCTTGCTATGCACATAAAGCCTCAGGGGTAACAGCCCTCGGAGAGAACAGATGGTAAATGTTTCTGTTCAGACCTTTAAAGCTGTCAGACTCTCAGTTAATCTTTCCTACCTCGGATAGGAGGACCTGGCTGCATTAATGGAGATTCTCTCAGGATGCAAATTTCCCCCTCACGAGACAGCTTTGCAGCATTATTTCTGCCTGCCGGCATCCGTCTCAAAATATGTCAAAGAAATGTATTTTGGGAGAAAATATTTTTGATTTCCTTCAGCCCTAAACCTTTCAAGATATAGCCCCCTATAAAACAAGCACAGGCCAATTATAACCACAGGACTTCAGCCTGAATGAATTCTTGAACCTGAGTTCTGTTCCTCTTCACACCTGACAATCTTATCTCCACAGATGCAGACCAAGGACAAGGTGAGATCAGTCACCCTTCTGCCCACTCTAGTCCTTGACTATTTCCTCCACTCCCTGTTTCAATGTTCACCTTGTCTTATGTAAAATGTAATTTGCTGGCACTACACTTAGAGCTCCACAAGAATGTAAGTAACCCTTTGCCTCACTGTTCACCCCTTACCCCTCCTTTTTTTTTCCTGTATGCCTTCTTTCCCTAAATACTGAATTCCCAACTCCCACAGAGAGCCCAGGCTACAGGTGCTTCTGTGGTTTGTGCTTTTCCTAGGTGTGTCCTCAGACTTTGGCTTAATAAATCTCAATTGAGTGTGACTCTCGTTTTCAGTCACTTATTGTTTAAGTTGTCAACAGCAAAGAAAGAGCCAGATCACACCTGCTCAGAGGAGCTTGGCACCAGGCTCAACCTTTCTCGGCAGGGAGGCAATAGGTCACCAAAACGCATGGACCTCCACAGTCCTACAGGAAGTCAAACTTAGAAAGGGCTTTAGAAGGCAATTATTCAACCCTCTGATTTCCAGATGAAGAGACTGAGGCTCAGAATGGTGACGTGATATTCCTCAAGTTAATATCACTAACCCTCTCGATTTTGTGAAAATTCTTTAAAAGCAGCAAAGAAAACAGTAGTAAAATAAAGGAGATTTACCGGAACTGAGGCCTGTAATGTCGTCTGCTTATTCTTACCCTGATACACAATGGCCACACGAAAAATAGAACCCACAAATCACAGAATCAAAGCAATTTTAGCCTAGCTGCTTCAGATGAGCAAACTGAGGCCCTGAGAGGCCAAGTGATGTGGGCAAGGTCTCACCAAGATGGCACCTAGAACTCAGAACCCCAAACTCAGTCTAGGGTTCCCTACCCAGAGCCAAAAAAGTCTCTAAAATGATTTTTAGCTCTTGATGACACTTGGCTCAATGTAACAGAAAGATTATGGAAATAAGTAGCAGCTCCTGAAATTCCAGGTTCAATGTCCAACATTTCTTTAATGTTTAAAGGTAAAATTAGACTACAAATTCCTAGGTTCACATTAATTTTTTTTTTTTTTTTGCTAAATTTATGTTTTCTTAATTTACTTTCTCTGCTTTTTCATCTTTGTTTCCCCTAGTGATCACTAAGCAATTTTATTTGCAGGCAACACAAGCTCATCAGTGGGATGTTTAATTTCTTTGTTTTTCATTGCTTATATCATATATTATTTCTTCCAATTCCAAGGATAAAGCAAAATGTCAAATAAGGTCTTAGTGACAGAGAACTTGAAAATCTCTTGTCATAACTGAATAAAGAAAATATTAAAAGGATTTCAGGCAATTTCATAGAAGAATTATATTGCAGAGAAATAAAATTTTGATTAAACATCTGGAAATAATCTAATTGCCTATTATTTTTAAATCCCTCCTACAATGATTTTACATTAAAATGATATCCAGCTAGTATGGACAACATTCATATAAGCCATGGAGGTCAGAAGGTACACTGAGTCAAAAGTCTTGATGACACCCCCTGTGGACTAATGGATTTTCCCAATAGAGGTCGTCCCGTTCAGCTACCTTGTACCAGACGTGCTAAAAGAGAAATATGCAACTCCTGAGATTCCAGGCTCATAAACCCAAGTCCAGCCAATATCTCACAAAGGCACTTACATTTTTGTAATTCTTGGTACTTTTGTAGATATCTGTGCTAGGGATGCTTCCAAGGCCATTCCATGAAGGACTAAAAAGAAAAATCAAGGTCAAGATTTTTTGGGGGAACAGTCATATTTTGGAATAAAAAGTTAAAAACAAATAACAGCTACTAAGCAGCCCATCATTCTGGTGTTTTGGACTCTGTCTCTACTGCGGATGACATTTTGCTGTTGCTAACTCTGAAGTGAACAGCTGGTGTTTGTGTGGAAGTGGGGGAGAAGGAGAAACTGTGCCTCTCTTTTGATGGCTGAGAGAAATAATGAGCATCACACTTTCACGTGCACGACACGTTGTAGGATGAGCAATGAGCTTTCCACACATGTGAAATCTTATTTAAGCCCCACCATAACCCTAAAAGGTCAGCAGTATTATCCTTACTTTCATTACTAAGTGAAGTGAGGTTCAGAGAAGTTAGGAAAGGCCCAGAAGTAAAGGACAGCGCAGCCCCCGATTCCACCCCTGGGTCTTTAGTGCCTGGCTCTTCTTTGTGACTTTCGGCAACTTCCTGATGAAGTGTGGAGAGTCTGGTGGGGATCAAATTAGTCTCTTTTTATAGAAATAGGAGCCTGGGAGGACCAGAAATAAGCCCTTCCCATCAACCAGACTGCTGATTTCCTGTTGCTGATGGAATCAGATAAATTTCATGATTCTTCAAGTATGACTAGGGTCATATTCCTGAAGAAAGAGTATCTGTTTGCAGTAACTTTCAGCATTGTGTTCTCCAGATCAACATTATAATTACTGGAAATTAAATACTGTGCAGGGTACTGCTTTTTGTTGGCGAAAAGCCTAGTTACCAAACCAGTAGCTAAAAATCTGCTACCAGTTTTTGCTTGGCTTACTGTGTTGTGCTGATTTTTAACTTAAAACGCATAAGCTAGTCTCTCTACAAAACCTTTTTTTCCCAACCACACCTACACAGGAAAAAATAGACACTGAGGCATAATACAGCATGAGAGGTAGCATCTTCTAAGGACAGCGTCTGAGTTATTTCCTAGCAGCCAGTTGGGCACTTTGGGAGCTGGCGAACTTTTTCATGCCCCTGGGCAACCGTTTCAGGGTGCCAAGGCAGAAAACACAGCATTTTGGGTAAGCACCAACATGCCAGGGTAGGGAGGAAGGGCAGGAAGGAAACTGGCTGGTGGGAGAGGTGAGCTTATGCTAAGGTGGAGACATCTATGTTGATGCTTTTCCAGGTTTCTTCTTCCTTCATGCCCAAGTGCAGGCAGAGAAAGGCCCAGAAGTCTGGAAAGACAATGGCAACACTGAGGGAGGGAGGGAGGCTCTGTTCCCCCTCCCGGCCCAGGAGGCATGTAGCTAAAGCCTCTCAAGAGCCAAAACAAAACCAACCAAAACACCACTTTCAGGCTCCCTCGCCTTCCATCGCTGGCTGTTTTTCATTATTTAAGTCGTGCATTTGCTGCTTTCACTCTGCATATGAGCTAATGATGTTTAACTCATGTAATGGCGTGGCTTATTGGATATATGCCTTGTTTGACAGATTTGAATGGATTCTGGCTATAATCAACTATTTTAAAGTTCTCCTGTGCTGGGTTATGTAACTTTTGGGTTACCAGCTTTAAAAGAAAAACAGGAACTATAATAGAGTTAGCAGCTGTCTTGTCCCAAGCCTTAGAACCAGTGCTTGACACACTTCAACTTATTTAAAAGAAGAAACTATAGGCAGGGGACAGTGGCTCACACCTGTAATCCCAGCACCTTGGGAGGCTGAGGTGGGAGGACCCCTTGAGGCCAGGACTTTAAGACCAGCCTGTGCAACACAGTGAGACCTCTGTCTCTACAAAAAATTTAAAAATTATTCATAGCTGGGAGTGGTGGCCTGTACCTGTAATACCAGCTACTTGAGAGGCTAAGTCAGGAGTGGAGGAAAAAAAAAATTTTTTAAGAAAATTAAAATTAAATTTTTGTAGAAAAGGAGCCAAGAAATTGGAAAAGGCCCCGGAAGTTGGAGCTTGCAGTGAGCTGTGATCGCGACACTGCACACCAGCCTCGGTGACGAGGCAAGACCCTGTCTCAAAAACTGAAAACAAACTAGAAAGCAACCCCAATCTTTGGCTGAAGTATATATCTTTTAGTCTTACAAGGAAAACACAGCAATAGATCAGGTGACTAAGTGCATAGATTTTGGGATAAAATACATCTGGGTTCAAATCTTAGCTCTTCTACTTACTAGCTGTGTGACCTTAGTGGAGGTTCTTACTCTTTCTGAGCTTAATTTTCTCACCTGTATAATGAAAATAATCAGACCTATTCATAGGATTTTTTTTTTTCTTTTGGAGACAGAGTCTTGCTCTGTCACCCCAGCTAGAGTGCAGCTATAGGTATAGCTCACTGCAACAGCAAATTCCTGAGCTCAAGGGATCCTCTGGCCTCAGCCTCCCTAGTGCACGCTTTGGGCTACAAAGCGTGCACCACCACACCCGGCTAATTTTTTCTATTTTTAGTAGAGACTGGGTCTCGCTATTGCTCAGGATGGTCTCCAACTCCTGACCTCAAGTGATCCTCCTGCCTTGGCCTCCCAGAGTGCTAAGATTACAGGCATGAGCTACTGTGCCTGACCTATCATAGGATTTTTTTTAAAAGTCAAATAACATCTGTAAAGCACTCTGTGCTTAATTCATAGAATCATTCAATGTATAGTAACTACAATGAAAGAAAGTGGTTTCACTACATTTATCAAAACAGCATAAGAAAGCTCAGGGTGTGTTGTCCAGATTATAGGAAATCTGGGTTTTATATTACTCACAATTGAACTCTCAAGACCACAGTCAACAGTCCAAATATAAGGCCAGCTAGTAAACCAAGGTCCAGCCCCAGAATGATGGACACTATACATGTAAACACCCAGATAACCTAGAAAAAAATGGAAATGAAAAGAATTATATTAATTCATGAGGCACCATCAGATGATAGACTACCTGTAAAAATAACATCAACTATCCACACACAAATTATAGCTTTTAAAAAATATCATAACTTCACTTATTTCATATTTAAGTAGAAACTGGCCTTCCTAATTAATACCAACTGTCCCATTTATTTTTAAATTTTTGAATAGGCAACACATTTGCATGGTTCAAAAGGGAATTTACATACAAAAGGTTATACAGTGAAAATGCTTGCTCACAACTCTCTCCCTTCTCCACCCATTCCCAACCTCCCTCTCTGCCTGTATCCTCTTTTATTCTGTGTGTGTGTCTGCACTTTTCCCCAGCATTTCTATTTTGGTCTCTTTTCGACTTAACAATTTGCCTTAGAGATCTTTCTATATCAATATGTAGGAAGTTTTCTCATTCTTTTTAACGGTCAAGGTTTAAATTACAGCAGAACTCTAAAGGACTTAGCTTCTGGTTTTTATAATTCCTCAGAATAGTTGTGAAGGTTACCTTAGTCAGAATTAAAATCAGCATGAGTTTTTGTAGTTTGTTTTTGTGTTGTTTTGTATTTTTAAATTTATTTTATTTATTTTTGAGACAGAGTCTTACTCTGTTGCCTAGGCCAGAGTGCCGTGGCATCAGCCTAGCTCACAGCAACCTCAAACTCCCGGGCTCAAGAGATCCTCCTGCCTCAGCCTCCTGAGTAGCTGGGACTACAAGCCGGAGCCACAACACCTGGGAGCACTCTCGGCCTCCCAGAGTGCTAGGATTACAGGCGTGACCCATCACGCCACGCTCTGTTTTGTTTGTTCTTCTAATCTAGGGTTTTAAAAATTTGTTTGCTTTTTGGCTGCAAAATGCCAAGGGTGTATAAATGAGCCTCATATGGGATTCTTGCTGGAAACGGATCTTCCCAGAGATACAGGATCTTCACAAAATGCAGTTCACGTGGAAGAATTTCATGGCTTTGGTTTATCCACACAATTCCAATTTCTGCTCTGGGATTCCCAAAGTGCAAGTAAGACTTAGGAGACAGGGAAACATGATGATATGGCAGGAAGCATATAAGAACCAAATCTTATTTCAGGGAAAAATGAGCGGTGGGTGACTTACTGCATCGATCTTATTCTGCCTCCACAGCCGAGGAACATCACGCACCTGCATAAACATCCCTTTCAGGTTGGCAATCACAACAGCTGCCAAGACCGACTGCCAAGAGAGACAAGGAAGGCTGTGTTATTCAGGGGAATGGTTTTCCATGTGATGATTTTTCAGGCTCCTGTTATTTCTCTGGTAGCAGAGTGGTGAAGGGAAGTTATGCGATGGGTGTGCGAGGAAGCAGGGTTATACCTTTTGCAAGGGTTCCAGAAGCTTCCCCAGGGCCACAATGGCGATCATGACAATCCCAGCCGAGATGATGCCAGCAACCTGAAAGACACACACCTCCCATGAAGAGGGCTCATCCCCCCTCCTGTCTTCCAGCTTGCTGGCTGTGTGAGAGCCTGTTCACAGGCTCACTTCATGCTTCCCACTTCCCCCCTTCTGCTCAATACTGTTGACAGAAATGAGAATTATTTGCTCACACTCCATAAAACAAAAATGGCATATATACATATACATATATACATATATATATATATATACATATATATATATATATATATGCTATTGTCGCGCCCGCCTCGCCAGCAAGGAAGACGCGGCAACCGGAGTTCTTCTGACAGCGCTTTAATGGGGATTGCTTAACTGGTTACATGCGGAGACGCCGAGGCGTTCTCGGCGGCTGCTTATAAAGGCAGTAAGTACACTGGGCATTGTCTGATTGGATAAGGCACTTGGAAGGGAGGAGACAAACTCTGCACATGCGCTGAGCTCGTTTGTCAGACTAACAGCAGGGTTTGACCAGGAAGCGGGCCCCATCTTGGAATGGCGTTGCCACCGCGCCCCACATGCTATGGCAGAGAAATTAAAGAAAATCTGGAGACTGAGCCCACTGAAGTAAAGCCTGTTTGACCTGATTTCATTTGGATATATTATACCCCTATCACCCTGTCATTTTGCTGTCAATTCAGGAGGCCAACCTAGTTATTTTCCATGCCAGGAAACAAAGACCACCACCCTTTCCCAACAACAGACATCGTGGCCGTATTCTTGGGAAATAAATCCCCTTGGCATGTACCTGATTCTTCTGCATTACCGATGCAGCAGCCGTAACAGCAACTCTGGTGACACTTCGTACTTGTAACACACGGTTCCCATAAAAGTCTCAGAGAAAATAAATTTACCCACCCTATAGCAAATTCAAAATGCCACATTGGCACATGGAGAGGTAGGGCAGCGTCTCCTGCTTCCTCTGAGGATCCCTTAGGGGCAGGCTCAGGGCCTTGTCCCCAGGCAGCCCAGAACAGTGGCTTCAGAGCTACCCGGCCATAGCAGGGGTAAAAGGAAGCTTCAGGAATTTTACCTTGGCTGGCAAAAAAAAAGCTCTCCTAAGATCCGTAAAGTTAGGAGAGAGGCTGAGGGGGTGGAAACTATTCTCTGGTTTGATTAGGTGACCCAGGAATTCTCTGTGGAGACAGCTGGGGCAGGGCCAAGGTGAAGACTAGAAGCTCTGAAACAAAGGAGAAAAGGAGACAGAAAAGCCAGAAGCAAAGCAGTGAGAGAGGAAAGCCAGGGGAAGGTTGTGCTGAGCACAAGCACTGCCTAGAACAAGAGGTCTGACTTAGGGAGATGGACAGACACAGCAAATATAACTAGAAAATTAGAGAACTTAATTGGAAAGCATTCACTCCACCTGGCAAATGGATCATTTATGTTGGAATTGCAGTTGGGTCAGCCTGAGGCAACACTATGTATTTGACATACTAAACGTCTGGCTCACTGTTCTACGCTTTTCCTACCATAACACCTACAGGTTCCCAGTACCTTGGTGAGCTTTCCCCTCTCCTTACTAAACAGAGAAGCTGATCTCCTCCCTCCCTCCTATTCCCCCTTCCCTCCCCTCCCCTTCCTGCCTTAACATTCTTACTTAACCAATTTCCTGAGCCATTTGCATCCCACTGCGGATGTAGGGCTCTGTGCCTCAGTGAAAGATATGGAGATTTGGGGACAGGGGCCACAGCGAGCTGCCAGGAGAGTGGCCACCTACTTGCCAAGTATATGTAATAAGTCGTCTCCATTAATGGGGCCAAGGCTAATTTGGTCACTATATTAAAATCTGTAAGGGATCAATTATTTGTACTTATTTTATAAGGCTCATTTGTGAGAAACTCTAGACTTTATATTTACAAGCAGATTCAATTACTAGAAAATCAATTAGTCTGTTAAGTGCAGGGTAACGAAAGCTAGAGAGCAGTTTGTAATCAGACTTACTTTTTCATGGGTCAGTAGGAGTCAGATTAGGGGAGAGAGAAAGAGCAGGTTGCAATGTTTAGTTTTTCTGTAATCTGTACATGTGCTGAGACCAATTAATGTCCACCAATGCTCATTCTTCCATTCATTCATTCAGCAAATATATGCCAGGTGTTTCTTATGTGTCAGGTACAATATATGTATCATAGGTACTAAGATGCTATTCCTACCTTTAGGAGTGTAACAATGATCATGTGCTAGGATGTGCTAGGACTTAACACTTTCTTATGTAATCCTCACAACATCCCTATGAGATGGATACAATTATCATGCCCATTTTATAGATGCTGAAACTGAGGCTTCGACATAAGAGAATACACAAGAAGCCACATGGGAGAAGAGGCGCCAGTTTATTTGGCCAGGAGTCCCTGGATTTTGGTTCAGGTACTTAGACTTTTAACCCTAGAACGTTAGTATACATTTCAGCAATTAAATAGCAAGACATTTCTGCACTTGTTTCATTCTTCAATCCTGAAATCCTGGCATCCTTCATTCCTAAATATAATACACTCCAGTGTGTGGCTGGGGATATTAGCTTACCAGAATACCATTATCCCCCCAAGCCTGTGCCAAGGAGGTCACTTTACATGGGCATTCTTACTGCCCATGGGCTTGGTGCGGCCAGCCCAAGCCTCCCTTGAGCCTAGAGGCAACAGCAGGAGAACGGACACCAGCGGTTCGGGATTTGCCTGCATCTACTTAAGACCACGCAGGCAAGACAGCTTGTCAGTGCTCTGTCTCGGATGAAAGCAGCAGAAGTGCCTGCTGTTGACAGCTGGGGCCCAAAATGGGCACAGCTTTGGAAATTAGCTCTGACCTCTTCCCCTGGGTCACAGGTCTCTGATTATGCTTCCCAGAATGGGCTGTATTATTTTACTTGCTCCTGCAGAGCTGGAAATGTTTTGTTGTTTTTTTTAATTTTGTTTTAAAGAAAAAATTCTGAAAATTAAATTTTTGTTCAAAAGAAGCCAAAAAATTGGAAGAGGCCAATTCTTCTGAGTCTGTCACAAGATCCATCATAAATAGGAAAAGAGCATCACATGCATCATGGGGACGATTCCAGCTCTCCCTGGGCAAGCCACTGTCAGACTCATTAGTTTCCTCATTCTCTTTTATACTTATTTGTGTCTCTGCCTTCATAAAAACCCATCTGAAGACTCTGTGGTGTGTGCTTTATATGATGTAGTTGGGTTTGTTGTTCTCTGTTCTAATCCCAATGTACTGTTTACTCATAAATAGTTGTTCCTGTGTTGGGAGGATAAAACCCACACGGCATAACAGACAGAAACAAATCCTGGGTCTGTCCCTTGTCCCCAACCACTTGGTTTGGCATATCTGACTCTGTGTCTGTCTGGAAAGGGTGGCCTTTGGGAACGGCTCCCCAGCTTCCTGACTGCCGATGGGGGATTATCCAGAGATTAACTGGGATGCTGGTTGTTTTTTTCACCTTGTAAAGGCAACAACTGAAAACCACATTTAAAGGGTAAGGTTGAACTCACACGTTCAGAACTTTAGGAAAGAAAAATATTACTCGGGAAGAAATGCCAAAAATGTTACAACAGAAATATTCTTGGCTAGCAAACTGGTGTTCTGTGGGACCAAAGGCCTCTAGAGGAAATCCCTGATCGTTGTAAAGGAAATGTGAACAGAGCTTTTCACTTTCCTGAAAATATAATAACTCCCCAAGCCGCGAAGTGCTTTTACTAGGCCCTCTCTCTCCTCAGGTAACAAGTTGATAAAAATCAGCATTCTTTGTTACTGATTCCTTGTCAGTTGTTATTGGCCTTGAAAAGCAGGTAAGCATAGCTATATGCCAGGTGAGCACTGACACAAAGAGATTTGAGATTTGCTGTATCAGAAAACCACAAATGTTGTCTTTGAGGAGGTTTTAGATGAGCGGGTGGAACAAGAAAGCCCAGCTGAATCGGATCAGGACACGCAAGTCCCAAAGGCTAATTGTCCTGCTCAGTTCCTGTGCAAGCCTCTCTGAGCTGCCACCCCCTGACTTGCTCTTTGAGATGGATATCACCAAGCTGTCACTTCATACCTGTGTCTTTCCTCCTGTGCTCTCCTGGACAGCGGTGCGGGACAGGGCAGTGGTGGCCACAAAGCAAGAGAAGAATCCCGAGAAGATGTTGCTGATCCCGAAGGCAATGAATTCCTAAGGGAGAGACTGGATGACAGTGATGCTACAAATAGAATAATTGCAAGACCCTCGCTGAGTATTTAAGGAAGTGCATTAAGAAAGCAAATTCCCAAACCCACCCTGCCTGTTGGTCCAACTTAATTTTTTACCATTAAACGTACCTGGTGGCCTCGTAAGACATCAGGAGTTTGGAGTCCGACTTTGTGCAAGCTAAGAGAGGCCTCACTACTCTCAATAATTTTTAAGGTTGACAATAGTAACTGATCCTTTGCGAAAATGCCTTTTCACTGCCTGGTGAGTGGTGTGTCTGCAGTTCTCACGTAAAGTATTGAACATTGCTGTGTAGGGTATTATGCTGGCAGAGCTATTATTGTGCTCGACTACTAATCGTTTAGCTGCTGTAAGAGCTATGCTGTGTCTTCAGAAATATACAGGTACAACACTTGCAGATTTGCAAGCATTGTGAAATCAGCTTGCCTGGCAATGTATCATATGCCCACAGAAACTGCTTGGGTTTATTAATTGTACAGTGAACCGCCTCAATTTAAAGTGATCACAAATATCATTAATGATGTTTGTTGCACTGTTTTGTTGTATTATAGCTGCCATTGAAAATAATTACCAGGAGACACCGGGTTACTTGAAGAATTCTTATTCTGACCTAATAGGTTAACTTTGAATGTTATTAATGACCTGACTGAATTTGCTCTTTTAAAATTAGGATGACTTCAACTTATTTTTTTGAAGTTTGCAAAGTGATGTAGCATGCATATTTCAAAGTAACTTCTAATTAGCAAGCACAAGAGGGAAACCAACCCAATAAGGGCAGATGAAAGAATCCAACCTCTTCTTTAGCTGACACCAAAATCTTTTATGTTTTTTTCTTGTTTTCAGCCCTATAAAACCAGTTCAGCAAAAGGGTGACCATACCTGGTTCCCATCGATGGCGTAATCGTACTTGGTGGCGTATACTTTTCCTACTGATACTGCGATAGCATAAGCCACCACAGCAATGGAAAACGATGCAGCCAGCATCTCAGAAAACAGGCTTACGGGTGGAAGTACAGGAGGCAAAAACCTAGTGAGTTTTTAAATGAAAAATTCTGTGATGATTTGACCACAATTCTCTTTCCCACCTCACCAAATGCTATACCCACTCAGCCACATTAGACATGAAAGTACTTGGCCAAAGAGAACAAAAGGCACATGAGAAACATAAATGGTGGCATCCGCTTTTACTTTTTTTTGGAGACAGAGTCTCGCTCTGTCACTCAGGCTGGAGTGCAGTGGTGTCATCATAGCTCACTGTAACCTCAGACTCCTGGCCTGGAGCGATCCTCCCACCTCAGCCTCCCAGGGTGCTAGGATTATAGGTTTAGCCACCACGCCCCACCTGCTTTTACAATTTTTAATCAGAAGTTGGAGCTATCTCTCTGGCTGCTTTCTTTTCCCCCTATTTGAGTGCCTAGATATGCTGCCTCTTCTATACCTCTGACAGGAATAAATCTGTTGTTACTGATTTTTTAATATCATACAACCCCATCCATGCCATTTCACACATTTCTCCTTACACAATTTCATCTTAAAGTTCTTTGGATTTAAAAGATATTCTAGCCATAATGTGAGATTTAGTCTGTATGAAGAGATGTCAGGTCTGTTAAAGAGACAAAGATACATGATGCTAAAAAAGCTCAGTGGAAAATTCATATCCTAAGAGCTATAACATTTAAAATCTTCTTGAGGCCAAAAAAGACTAAATTTATGTAATCATAACAGTGTTCTGCAGTGACTAAAATATCCCAATGATTGTGGGGTCAAATGACTCCTCTTTGACAAAACCAGAGCTACTCTACAAACCATATAAAGAAATTAACCTACAGGTTTATAATCATGAGGTTGTCCCCAAATATGAAAATTTGCAGATGACCTTCATGTACCTATATCTTGAAAACTATCCATATGGTGTCATTCCAGAGCTCTCTAGCCACAAAAAATCTCCCCCACCTACCTTACTTATGCCAGAAGTTCCTTTAATAGGAAACTACATTTTCCCCCTATAGTTAGAGAGAAGTGGTAAAAATAATGTAAAAGTAAGATTTTTAGAGAAATTTAGACCCAGCAAGCATCCTATATATTGTTGAATTTACCTCTCTCATTTTTGTTTTGTTTTATTTTGTTGTTGCCCAGGCTAGAGCACAATGACATTATCATAGCTCACTGCAACCTCAGACTCCTGGGCTCCAGTGATCTTCCTGCCTTAGCCTCCCAAGTAGCTGGGACTACAGGCGCACGTCACCATGCCTGGCTTTTTAAAAAAAATTTGTAGAGACAGGATCTTGATATGTTGCTTAGGCAGGTCTTGAACTCCTGGCCTCAAGTGATCCTCCAACCTCGGCTTCCCAAAGATTACAGGAGTAAGCCACAGCACTCAGCCTCTCATTTTGTTGATAAAGGAACTGAGACCCAGAAAAGTGAAGTGATGTGCTTGAAGTCATTTAGTAGGTCCAGATGTAAATGTGAGATATTAGATGATTTTCTAGGAACAAGATCTGTCTGGTTCTCTGCCCTTGTAGCCTTCCCCTACAGGTTAAATTAATCTTCAAACTCCCTTTCTCCTCATATCCCATCCTACCCCACAGGCAGGCCCTGAAATAAGCCCCATCTGTAGGCAGACAGGATGTTGCAAGCCCGGATCCAGTACTCGAGCAACTCAGCATCACATCACTTGCTGGTTTGGATCTGACCTTGGAAGACACTTCTTAAAACCAGGCTCCTGACTTGCTCCTGAGACCCAGTCAACTCTACTTTAGGAAACTGGGGCTTTCAGGATAACTTTCCAGTCCTGAGAAGAATTTAGTTTTGGCAGCAGCCTAATGCTCATTGCCTGCCTGGCTGCCTAGTTCTCCAAATATTATCTGATCCTTGATTATCTAGGGTTCCGAAGTGTAGAGTGCGAAGACTTAAAGTCAAAGGACCGGAATTGCTCTGCAAGTGGCTTTGGGTATGTTATTTAAGCCTACTAGGCTCCAGGTCCTCCACTGTCTAATGAGGGCTATATACTCTTCTCAGACGGTTAAGTGAGGTATTCCTTGTGTAAGTAGTTAATGCCCACACACATAGTAGGTGCTCAGTATATGTTGGGAGAACCTAAATCTGCTAAACTCCTGTCACGCATTTGTACCATCTTTCTGGCCCTTAAGGCCCTTATTTGCCCCAAGCCAATTGAGGCCCTGACTGGACATCTTCTAATGACCTGTAAGGAACTTTCTTTTAGCACCTGCCTTCCTTCCATGGACGTAACTCTTTCCAATTGTTATGCTCACTCAGTGGGCCTGTTTGGCCTCAGCCAGCCCTGTCAGGCCTGATCATGAGCTAGCACTACCAAGAGCCTAAAGGGGAGAGTGTGTGAACACACACTCATCTGAACAGATGACAATAGGGAGAGGGAGACCTTGAAGAGCCAAAACAAAAAACAACAACAAAAAAAAACCTCCTACAGGAGAGACAGGCACAATAAACATAATGCCAAGTGCACATTTTCACTCCAGATTAGAACTGAGCACTGGGCACATGCACCACCAGTCCAGCTAGAGGGGAAAAGTGGCCCCCAGAAAGCAGCCAGGAGAAAGCCTCTGTGATGCTATAGGCCTCCCCACTGCTGTTCTCCCTTGTGCCACACTGTCAAGTGCAACTGCAAAGCACATCACTTTACAGTGGTAACAACCATGATGACCAAGAGGACCTCTGGCACTGAGAGGAGAGGAGGAGAGAGGACCAGTCACATGTGATCCAAGATGAGGCAGGAGAGAATTAGAGCAAGGATTAAAATGTAGAGGACAGAGCAGTGGTTATGGGCTTAAACACACACACACATACACACACAAACACACACATACACACACTATGACGGAGGAGGTAAGAGAAGCCTGGGCTTGAGGAGTGAGGAGCTGCGTGCCATAAGAGCTGCAGGACAAAGAGCAGACGCATGAGAAGAGATGCATGTTGTGACCGGCCTTAAGAGTCTGCTGGTTAAGACACCACCTTGATGAGAGAATGACAGACTCTTAGTGGGATGCTCAGATGCTGACTGGACGTGGGGACATGGAGAAGTTGCATATTTGTACCAGGAGAGACAGTAGAGAGAAGGGCATGGAGCCACAGGTTTTGGCTGTCCAATGGGATGTTGTTATTGGAGACCAAGTGATCCTAACATACGGTCCTGGCCCCCAAAGGATAAAAGGAAGCTTCCAACAGTAGCCTTATTGGAGAACTGAAGTATAGAGGAGAGCAAGAGGGGGTATATCAGTCTTTTCTTTTTTTTTTTTTTTGAGTCAGTCTCACTCTGTTGCCCAGGCTAGAATGCCATGGCATCAGCCTAGCTCACAGCAACTTCAAACTCCTGGGCTCAAGCAATCCTTCTGCCTCAACATCCCGAGTAGCTGGGACTACAGGCATGCGCCACCATGCCCGGCTAATTGTTTCTGTATATTTTTAGTTGACCAATTAATTTCTTTCTATTTTTAGTAGAGACGCAGTCTCACTCTTGCTCAGGCTGGTTTCAAACTCCTGACCTTGAGTGATCCTCCTGCCTCGGCTTTCCGGTGTGCTAGGGTTACAGGTGTGAGCCACCACGCTGGGTATATCAGTCTTTCTCTTCCTGTTCCTTTCATCGTGCTCACCCAGACACTTGAATATCTGCTTTTCTTGCTCTTTTCCAATCTCTCCACACCACTTTTTCTTTTTCAGGTTTGTTAATATCATTAGAATTATTTCTGTGCTACCAAGTAGGATCCGATCAGATAACAAAGGCCTTTCTTGTGGCTTATTCATAATGACTTGGGCTTGGGTATCTTATCCCTTCATCAGATGTTTTCTGAGCGCCTACTGTGAGATGAATACTGTGCTGGGAACACAGCGGAAGAACACGAATGAGGTCACTGTCCTCGGGAAGGAGCTTATAATCCTCAGGGCCAAGCAGGTTAAGTTAGCTGACCACGCTGAGCAGGTGGTCTGGCAAAGGGTTTAACTTGATTAAACTCAAGGGCAAGAGGCTAGAGATCCACTGTCAGGAGGAAGGCAGCCAGGAAAGCTCTGTAGAGGGCCAGGAAGGATACTGCAAAAATGGGCAGCAAAAATGAGTTCCCCAAGTCAATTGATGGAACATGGATTTATGGGACAGGGCATGTCCTGTGCACCACCTATAACTTGTTACAGATTAGGAAGCCTGACAAAAGGGATATATAGAATATGTTTCTATGTGATTGTTTATAACTACTGAAATAATCTGTTAGGATGAAAACTCCATATCTCAAGTAGTCACATTGCATCTTTTATCATTAAATCCCAGGCCCCTCCTCTGGAAAGCCTGATTCAATAGGTTTGGGGTGGGAACCAGCAATCTATATTTAAAAAGAGTGTCACAGGAGTCACACCACTAGGGGGCATCTGGGTGCGCTGCCACCCTGCCTCCGGGAAACAGTGGCCTGTCAGTCTGGAGTTTTCACACACACCGGGAACCTCTAAAGGTATATAGAGAGGTAAATATATTCACACACATAAATCTGGGTATTTTTACATATATAAAGAAACATAGATCATATCTAAATACATACATCAACATATAAAAAAAATTAAAATGGCCGGGCGCGGTGGCTCACACCTGTAATCCTAGCACTCTGGGAGGCCGAGCCTGGGGGATTGCTTGAGGTCAAGCTTTCCGAACCAGCCTGAGCAAGAGCGAGACCCCTGTCTCTACTATAAATAGAAACAAATTAATTGGCCAACTAATATATATATATATAGAAAAAAATAAGCCAGGCATGGTGGCACATGCCTGTAGTCCCAGCTACTCGGGAGGCTGAGGCAGGAGGATTGCTTGAGCCCAGGAGTTTGAGGTTGCTGTGAGCTAGGCTGACGCCATGGCACTCACTCTAGCCTGGGCAACAAAGTGAGACTCTGTCTCAAAAAAAAAAAAAAAATTAAAATATAGATATTTATACCAAAGAAAAGGGTCTCATATGATTCTTTCAAAAATGTAAGTTTGAGAAACAGTATAATGGATAATATGCAAATTGAGTCCCAAGTAGACAGTTGTCATTTTTAAAATATTTTTTGAACAGATAGTAGAAGAAATTGTAAGATCAATCAAATGGGAAGGCAGTGGTTCCCTGTGGAACAGGCACTAGGAGTGCACCTGCCTTAGTGTGGAACAAAGACTGGTACAAGGTTCCTTGCAAGTGTTAAGGGAGGAGAAATTAGTACTTACTGATAAACAGCAGGTCTAGTCATACATGCTGTGAGTTAATGTTACAAATATAATAAACATCTGGGATTTCTTTTAAATTCCATGTGATAACATTATAATGTAGGGCACTTTGTCCAGTCTGCATTTTATGAGCTGTCTCACTGGCGTTTCACAACAAGCTTGAGTTGAGGTTTTGGCTGCTGTCATTACCCTTGTCTTACAGGACAACCTCCCTGGGACCACAAAACTAGATGGTGACAGAGATGAATGAGGGACCTTGGTTTTTAGTCTTCTAATTCACCAAACTACCAAACATTTATAAAACTCCCCTTGAAGTTATAAAACTCCCCTGCGTTTTATTTATAGGTACAAATGCTATAATTATTATCTAAGATGAATAAACTAAACAGAGAATTTAGACTAGATGTCCTTGATTCCTTAAGCAGTTCGTTCACAGTGCAATAAATGTTACTAAATCATGATTCTATTTATATGATATTGTAATTATGAGTTTAAATTAGGAGTCATGTGTTAACTATATATGTTTGGCCCATTTTAAGAAAATGAAGAATAAAGAACATAGGGGCTGATTTTAAACAAATGACTTGAACTTTATCTACATATATACTGTTTGATAGTTTGCACAATGGCTATTTCTTTAAGATCACACACAAACAGGACGATTGAAGGAGCATTGGGGAAATGAAGCTTATAATAAAAGGTTTCATTTAAATAGGAAGTACTGATTTAATATATTAGTATTGTCTAAGAGGAACACCGTACTCACCCACTTGGAATGGATTTAACAATGCCAGCATTGTAATTTTTTTCCAAGTCAGCTCCATATGAAATGGCAGTAGCAATTATTGTCTGAAATAAAACAAAAGAAGAGTTTTTTCAAAACAACTCCACTTGTTTTAATAATTCTTTGCTGAATTTTCTAACTACATATTCTACTTACCACAATCACTTCTATAGGAATAGGGATTGGGATTTTGTGTTTAAATCGATCATTTAATTCTTTAACTGCCATGCAGATGACAATGGTGAGTAATCCAGCAATGAAATCAGCAAGATTGGTATTACCAATATTTTGAAAAATCTCAATCAAAGTCTGTAAAAAAAAATAATTTTATATACTTCCTGCTACATGGACACACATACAAAATCATTTCTCGCATGAATCTTCCCACATTAAAATTATAATATCATCATCAAACAACACCTAAAAGATTCACATAAAATCATTAACAATGTGCTGGTTACTACACAGACCATTCAGTACATGCAGTCTCTGCAATGAATGCATACACCAAATTATTAATAATGATTTACTTGGAAAGGTAAAACTGGGTAATTCTTATATTCCTCTTTTTGCTTGTCTATATTTTTATAATAAAATTGAAGATATTTTAAAATAAAAATGTCATTATACATATACTTTTACTTGATGAAAAACTTTAAAAGTTTATGTTTTAAAATGGTTTTATAGGTACTCATTAAGTGGCCTAATTTTCACCATGTTGGTAGAGTATTACTGAGACAAAGGCTGACAAACTCAAAACTCCCAATTGTTTGTTTTTATTTTTGTGTTTGTCACAATTAGCCAAAACTTTAGATAAAGCTCTTCTCTAAACCTAAATGATACAGATAATAACAAAATATTCCTAAAATACTTCCTATGTGGATACAGGTGGACTGATCCATTCTTTATCGCAAAGAGAAGCTATTGAATTGAGATATAGGCCCAGTGAAAATTTTTGGAAATAAATGTGGTGCTTTGTTTATCAAACTTGAACTAAGATGACTTAAATAATAGTAACTCTTCCCAAGTATACAGACAAGCCAGTTCAAGAAAAACTATTAAGAGTTTTGTTTTGTAAATAGGAGGTCTCTGGGAATCAAGGATGTTTTTAAGGAAATTAGCAAGGAAGAATCCCAGGAAAGAACACTGATGTCTTTGTTATATTAACTTCTGTCCTGTAGAAGGCATGATTGGAGAAGGGATCTTTGAGACAACTCTTTGAGACAAGTAATCTCCCGAGGAAGATTACTTTTCTTTGAATGAGTCCTTTTATAGATACATTTTTATATGAAGATAAAAGAGTGGAGCACCTTATAGTTTATAACATGTATTTTACTTATTTTTATGGATAACTATTCTTAACATAATTACATAATTACAACAATCTGGTAACAATTACGTATAATAAACATTAAGTAATCTAGGAGTCATTTGCCAGAAACCTCCACTCTCTGGAACACATTCGAGAGTAAAGGAATAGGGAGAGAAGTTATTGTGTAAGCAAAATCCATTCCACCGAGTGCCTGGACTGGAGTTCAGGCATTTAACTTGCAGGAAGTCTCTTGAACTTTCTTCACTCAGAGTAAAAGTTTGCTCTTATTTTAAACCCAATACTAACAAGTTTACTTTGTCTTCTTTCCAGAGTCACTGAAAATTGCTATCGGCAGATACACTGGCAATAATGAAGCAAGTGACAGCAAGGTGAAAAAGAAAATGGGTAAATTACCACAAACACATAATAACAAGAATTTAGGGCATTTAACACAGGAACAAATAGCCCTGTCTACCTCAAAGGCTTAAAGGTCATCATTGATGTCTGGACCTTTACATAATTCATTTTCTGATGGTGACGCTCATTAATGCATGAGCTAGGTATAATATTTTGATTAATTATCTACAATAAAGGTTTACTTTTCAACTCAAGATGGAAAAATCAAAACCTAAAAGACAAAACATTTGGAATAAGTATCCCAATCAGAAAAACATTCTCATCTTACAAAAATAATCACTAGTAGATGCCCATTTAATCTATGAGAGTCACTTAGATCTTTGAATGAAAAGCACCTCTGGTGTATTAAAGATGTAATATGAGGCTGGGTGTGGTGGTTCATGCCTATAATCCTAGCACTTTGGAAGGCTGAGGTGGGAGGATTGCCTGAGGCCTGAAGTTTGAGGCTAGTCTGGGCAACATAGCGAGACCCAAACCCTACAAAAAAATTAGCCAGGCACAGTGGTACATGCCTGTAGTCTCAGCTACCTGGGAGGTTGAGTCAAGATCACATGAACCCATGCAATTGCACTCTATCTAGCCCCGGCAATAGAGTGAAACCCTGTCTAAAAATAAATAAATAAGGCCCAGCACAATGGCTCATACCTAAAATCCTAGTACTTTGGAAAGCCAAGGTGGGAGGATTGCTTGAAGTCAGTTCAAGACCAGCCTGAGCAAGAATGAGACCCTATCTGTACAAAATCTATAGAAATTAACCAAGTGTGATGGTGTTTGCCTGAGTTCCAGCTACTTGGGAGGCTGAGGCAGGAGAATCGCCTGAGCCCAGCAGTTTGAAGTAGCGGTGAGCAATGATGATGCCACTGCACTCTAGCCTGGGAGACAGAACAAGACCCTGTCATAAATAAATAAATAAATAAATAAATAAATAAATAAATAAATGAATGAATGAATGAATGAATGAATGAATGAATGAATGTAACATCAGCTGCAAAAACCAAAATTGGTTTATATTACACAACTGCATCAAGCAAGGCATATGAATATATATGTGAGTTGCCTGTATATGTATTGAGTAAGCATTCAGGGTCTCTTACAAAAAGTTCTACAACAGAAAGTTCAATCTATGTAGAAATAGAACTCACCCATATAAACTGAAATCATCAGACTGTACTCGAAGATATAGAAATGAGACTCTAAGAAATCACTGAACAGTATTTTTTGTTGAGTTTACTGTTAAAATACTTACTATAATAACATATTTAAAATATGGATATATATATATATATATGATTCTATATTTTAGCCTAGAATTCTAAATAGTTCAAATTATGATAATGAGCTTTTCTGTGATGGACAATATTTTACTATATTTCCTACCCATGTTTGGAGAATTTTAGGATCATTTCATCTAGATACATTCTTTGTTTTGCCCAGTATTACCTGGGTATAAGAAACAATAAGGACAAATCATGCCCAATGCTATGTATGAAAGAATTTATCAGTTAACTTTTGGAGCTGAATTTAAGTTTATTTCCATTAATATAACAAACCCTTCATAATCACCTCTTGCTGTCAGGCTTTTCCTGCTGTCAGATCTTCTGTGTATATACATATAGATCAATCCTTAAAGTGTTACTTTCTTTATTATAATGGCATAAATTTTACATAGCAAAATATTAATAGGTTCAAAGTAACAACTCTGATAAAGCTTAGTGGTGGCTTTCAAAACTCTGACCCTTGTCTATGGAGATGGGAAAATAATCAGAGAAGTGGACTAGGAGATTAATTTAGATAATTGGGTGCTACACAGTGGCATCAAGGGTATTACTAATTCTAAATTGTTGCCAACACCCTGTCATCTTGCCTTCTCTATCCTATATCCAGTATCTCTAGCATTTGTGAATTAAGGATTTTTTCTTTTTTCCCTAATATTTTCTCCTCCAATTTTTTATATTCATTATTTCCAGTTGTCAGTACTTCTTTAAGGGAGAAGGCAGGACAAACCAAAGTACAACCTTACAGCAAAAGGGATGTTAACAACATTCTGTAAAATATTTTACAATAACCTTACAGTCCTTCCTGGAAAAATGTACTACTGCTCTGCATTTATTGAAGGATTATTTCATGAATGACTGCAATAGTAATGTCATAAGCAAAATTCTCAGTTGGGGACTGAGTGACTTACTTAACCCTTATGCAATTATTTCTAGACCTGCTGATCCTTTCTTTTCAGAAGAGCAAGCTTGGCCGGGCGCGGTGGCTCACGCCTGTAATCCTAGCTCTCTGGGAGGCCGAGGCGGGCGGATTGCTCGAGGTCAGGAGTTCGAAACCAGCCTGGCAAGAGTGAGACCCGTCGTCTACTATAAATAGAAAGAATAATTGGCCAACTAATATATATACAAAAATTAGCCGGGCATGTGGTGCATGCTGTAGTCCAGCTACTGGGAGGCTGAGACAGGAGAATTGCTTGAGCCCAGGAGTTTGAGGTTGCTGTGAGCTAGGCTGACGCCACGGCACTCACTCTAGCCTGGCCAACAAAGCGAGACTCTGTTTAAAAAAAAAAAAAAAAGAAGAGCAAGCTCATATTCACCACCACATAGGGATGATTGAAATACCTTCATCCAATGTGGCTGGCCTGTGAGGTGTTTCTTGCAAAGTCCTATGACACACACAACTGAAACGTCAAGAAAAATATTCAACAAGAAATAAGTCACATAATGATCGTATTTGGTTTAAAAACGATTTTGACCTTGGTCTAGTGTTTCCTGGTCACTTTTGTTCCTGTCAAAACTGAAATCATTTGCAGGAAGTTTCTTCTTAAACATAATCCTAGGAGACCAGAAGAACCATTTGCCATGTTCTGTGAAGGTCCAGCCATGGCCGAGGACCCAGGTCAACCACCGGTCCCGGCCTCTGGCGATCTGTGCAGATGCAGGGCTGACAATGTTCACACAGGGGGTCAGTCTGCTCAGTAAGGGATGTTTTGGTGGGTTCAGGAGTCAGTGGGTTTATATAGGGAGTGAACGGTGTCTGACACAGGGCGGGTTTTCAATAAATATTGATTGAATAAGATAAACTGAATGAATGAGAATGAAAGAATAAATGAATGAACAGCTGATGGGCAGAGAGTAAAAGAAGGATGTGTCAGCGGCTGCAAAAGTGACACATCCTGTTGGAATAAGGCAGCCAGAAGGACTCAAAGAGAACTGAGGACTTGGAAGGGGAGAAAAAAAAGCCAAGAATGCCCAAATGAATGTGGAAGCAAACAATTCTCACAACTCTAAGAAATTGCTACTATTATTAGCTCCATGCTACAATTGAAGACATTGAGGCTTAGGGAAGTTAAATATTAACTTCAAGGTCACATGGATGGTGGAATCAAGACTCCAAATCAAGTCTGTTGAAGTTCAAAGTCCATAGTCTTAGTCACTGTTATTCTGCATCTTATATCTACCCTCGCTGCTTACCATAGCACCTGGCCTGTAGTAAGCTCTTGGTAATATCTGTTGAATGGATGGAGTAATGTGCAATTATGGCACTGTTATAAAATTGAGGCTATTCCTGACAACCTCACTAATTCTTAGATATGTGTTGGCCTTACATTGTTTTACAAGCTAATAGATGGGTCATAAAAGGACTTAAACTCCATTCTTAATGTTGGCACATTCTTTCTATGTAGTATCATTCCTCCCAAGTTAGGATGATATCATGTTACTATTATCACAATTTTCAAGCATCAATAACACGCTTTATATAGAACATATATTTAGATCCAAGAGCTTTTTCAAATCAAATTAGTGCAATCTACATCCTCCTTCTGCATCTCTTTTGCATATTGAATCATCTCTGAATCTGATGTTCCTTTTCATCTATAATTGCTGAGACATTTATATTATGCGTTTTATGGACTCTCGTGGTTAGAAAGGGCCTGAGAGATACATTTCTAATTATTTCATTTTATAAATAAGAAAGAAAAGACACTTTGAAATAATTTCAAAATAACTATTTTTTTTTTTTTTTTTTGGAGTACTTGTTATGTGCCAGCCCCTGAGCCCAGGGCTTCTCATCTATTCTTATTTAACAATTCAGTGAGGTGATTTTTTTTATTACTAAGGCATGGTGATTTGCTCATGTGGCTAATAGCTAGTAGAGTCAGAATATGAATCCAAGGGGAGGGTTGAAGTGGGGTGAAGGATCAAAAACCACCTGTTGAGTACAATGTATACTATTTGGGTGATGGGTACAATAAACTCCCTGACTTCACCACCATACAATTCATCCATGAAACCAAAAAAACCACTTGCACCCACTAAATCTACTGAAATTTTTTAAAAAATGAATTTGGTTCAACCAGCTCCAAATCTGAACTTGCAGTCACTACCCTACCTGATGTGTCCAAGGTCACTTGGCATGTCAGAGGCAAAGCTGAGATTAAACTCAAGTCTACTACATCCCAGACCAGTCTTTACTTCATTATACCACTTGGCTTTCATTTATTTATTTATTTATTTGTTTGTTTATTTATTTATTTTTTGAGACAGAGTCTTGCTGTGTTGCCCAGGCTAGAGTGAGTGCCATGTGTCAGCCTAGCTCACAGCAACCTCAAACTCCTGGGCTCAAGCGATCCTGCTGCCTCAGCCTCCTGAGTAGCTGGGACTACAGGCATGCACCACCATGCCTGCCTAATTTTTTCTATATATATTAGTTGGCTAATTAATTTCTTTCTATTTATAGTAGAAACAGGGTCTCGCTCTTCCTCAGGCTGGTTTTGAACTCCTGACCTCAAGCAATCCACCTGCCTCGGCCCCCCAGAATGCTAGGATTACAGGCGTGTGCCACCGTGCCTGGCCTTTCATTTACGTTTTAAGTTCAGTAATTATTTCAGAAACCATTTTGACCAATTGAGAACAATGATTTGAAAATCTCTCTTCTTTATTTATTTTTCTGAGACAGAGTCTTACTCTGTCACTCAGGCTGGAGTGCAGTGGTCTCATTATACCTCACTGCAACCTCAAACTCCTGGGCTATGGGATCCTCCTACCTCAGCCTACCAAGTAGCTGGGACTACAGCCATGAGCCACTGTGCCTGGCTAATTGTTTAATTTTTTTGTAGAGATTGGGTCTCACTATGTTGCCTAGACTGGTCTCAAACTCCTGGCCTCAAGCGATCCTCCCATTGGCCTCCCAAAGCTCTAGGATTACAGACGTGAGCCACTGCACCCGATCAAATGTGCCTTCTTCAATGTTACTCCTGATTTAATGCTTCTTTCAGAGGAGAAGTAATAAAGTGCTTTCAATGGCTCCCAAAATACACACAGAGGAGAATGGGTTTTCCAGACTCAAGTTAAAGAGAGAGAGAGTATATTTTTTGAACAGTGACCCTTCCCTGGAGTAAAAAGCAACACTTACGTAGATAATGGAGAGAACCCCGTTATAATTTTTGGTTGAAACGTTGAGGACAATCTTTAGCTGTGAAACCAGCACTTGGAAGGCAGCAGCTGTTGTGAATCCACCAACCAAAGGATCTGCCAAGTACCTCACTATGAATCCAATCTGCAAACCTCCAAATATCAACTAGGAAAAGAAGAAGGAAGGAAAAATTAAATGTTTGCCAGAGAGAAGAACCAACTCTCTGGAAATATTAACAAATTAAGCTTAACACCAATTAAAACACTGGTATCCTGCCTATAGCACAACAATACTTGTAGGATACATCTGAATTTCTCAATGCCCTGTCTCTCCCCACCCCTCCGCCACTCTAAAATTTGAAAACATGTGATATAAACCCTGAAGTATTTCTATATAAGTACGAAGAAAAGCAAAAATCATGTAGCTTATTTCTATGACTTTCAGGTCCTGCGGCTCCGCTCACCAGAACACTTTTTTCTCTTTTATGGATTCCGGAACACTTCCCTTCTCTCATCCTCAATTGAATTACACATATTCTTCTGTGCTTTTTTTCTGTCTCTGACCTTGATGATAAGTGAGCCTTAACAAGTGGAGTCTTGCTGACTATTTTAGCATCTGACCTAAAACAAAAAATAACTTTTTGGGAGCCAGGAAATTGTTTTGTTTTGCTTTTAGGAGAATCTTTAAGTCCATAGGCTTTAAGGTTAATTTCAAATAAAAATTATACCGATCTATATTTTACTCGTAAGTCCATTACCTGTATGATTCCAACCAAAAGAGTAAGGGTGCTCGCAATCAACACTCTTGCTGAATCTCTAGCGGCAGAGTCTACCATGGTAGCGTTTAATGCAGTTCCGTTACTGCTTGGTACGAGAAAGTTTTCGTCGGGGGCCATGCTCAGAACAACAGATCCCACCATTAAACTGACCACTGGAAAAGGTCCTGGGGAAAAAAGTCTCTAACGATTAATCAGGTATTAATCACAAATGTTCAACATGTCTACATAGGATTGGAAAGTTGTGTGAAATAATTAGCTGTGACTAGAAAAATATTGCTGGTTCACAATGTAAGCTAAAAAGCAGATGTCTCAAGCAATCGTGATCCAGAAATGGGGGAGAGAAACACGTAGGTAGGTGATTATAATATAGCACTCAGATGCTTTGTGAGTACGTAGGAAGGGCATCTAATCTACCTGTGATTCTCATGTGTTTGGGGGGGTGGAGGAAGAGATGAGAGTTGTCAGTAAAGGTTTCCTGGCATGAAAGAGTTATCATAGGTGACCAATAAAATAAAATCAATCAATCAATAAAAAGATTTCCTGGCAGAGGTAGCATATAAATTGAGTTCTTACTAGTTCCACTCAATTTTTATTCCATATAAGCTCATTTATTTCCTAGAGTGTCCAATGTCTTGATCTCTGTGAACCTGAGTACCACTATCAATATCACAGGATCCAAATTAGGATTAAGAAACAGCAAAGGGAGTGTATAGATTCTTTTTTTATTTTTGTACGGCAAATTTTTTCATATCAAATGCCAATCTGTAAGAGTTTATGTTTTAAAAATTTACTCTTTTCTTCCAGCAACTGCTTCATTTGCTACTGATATTTTTATCAATAATGATGATGATGATGATACAATCCTTTGATCATGGAAAGTTTTAGGTTGGGAAGACTTAAAACCCAAACCCAGTCACCTGAAATGTCTAAATATGTAGACTACCAAATAGAAAAATCAGCTTCCATATTCTTCATCTGGTTACACATTTGATACTGCTCGATTCTTCAAAGTGAGGAAGTTCTCTCAACCTATCAACAACCTCTTCCTGATCTGCTTCTCCAGACAAGGCAACATGATAGACACCGGAGGAGATACAACTAAGGACAGGGACATGGGTTGGGGATGGAGTAGATGGTTGTATTTGTTTCAAGAGGATTATCCAGGTAGATGTGTCTAGCCAGCAGATGGATGTAGGAGCAAAATTATCTCTAGTATAAATGTCAAAGTCACAAAATAGCATTAAGACATTCATTTACTAGAACATTCTGGCAAAAGAGAATTCAAATTTTAGGAATGGCAGGAAAACTTATTATAAGCCATACAAAGAAGGAAAGCCAACTTAGCTTAGCTTCTGAATTGTTTTGGCAAGATTTTGCCAGTTTCCTGATATAAGCAACTTAAAATAAGTATGTTCTTTAATGAAAGAATGAATATGTATTTGATGAACATAATTTAGTGCATACTAACTTAATCAAGTAAAATGGTTGGTTCAAAAACCCTGTGAGATTTTCTTCCCTGTCATTTTATATTTTGGTAGAGAACACTTTTTATATATGAAGTCAAATGTATTACATTTAAAAAAATCAAAACATGCTAAACTTTGAAGGTAAGCTATAATTTTCAGTCTTTCAATTTTCTCCTCTTCATAAAAAAGTTATGTAACTAACTAACATCATTGAATAGAAAAAGTAGGCAAAGTATTGACACCCTATTTCCCTGAAAAACATTAACAAAAATATAGAAGCATAATACACATAATATAGCCAAAACACTTAAAACATGAACAAATACAATCATAAAATATGCTTATAATTACCAACTGAGATATGTCTTGATGTTCCAAAGATAAAGTATGTCAGGATAGGGAAAAAAGCAGAGTAGAGACCATATCCAACAGGAACTGAAGCTAGTAAAGCATACGCCATCCCTGAAAGTACATCCAAAATGATTAAATTCACAAACAAAAGTTATGATATACAGACAGTCCCCAACTTAAGACTTTTTACTTTATGGTGGTGCAAAAGCAATATGCATTTGGTAGAAAGTGTATTTTAAGTATTCATATAACCATTCTGTTTTTCACTTTCAGTATAGAATTCAATAAATTACATGAGATATTCAACACTTTATTATAAAATAAGCTTTGTGTTAGATGGTTTTGCCCAACAGTAGCCTAATATAAATGTTCTGAGGACATTTAAGATAGGCTAGGCTAAGCTATGGTGTTTGGTCGGTTAGGTGTATTAAATGCATTTTGACTTAAGATATTTTCAACTTCTATCTTGAAGTTGAAACTTCAACTTCTATCTTCTGAAGATAGAACTTCAACTTCTATCTTCTATTTTCAACTTCTATCTATGGTGAGTAGAGGAGTATCTGTCTTTCTACTGCAACAACCTTTTCACAAATATTCTCAATTTACAGCTTCAACACATCAGGTCCTGAGTTGTCTATTTTGCACAGAGGCTGTGACTATGCTAGTATGCAGAACAGCGTCCGCATCAGTTGGGATAAAGGATTGTATCTACAGGCATCACTCGCTCAAATCAATCAACGCAAGTGATCAGTAATTCAGTCATCCACTGATCAGATCAGTGGGGAAAAACAATCAAGTCAGTCATTGATTAAAAACTCAGTCAGGCCGGGCGCAGTGGTTCACGCCTGTAATCCTAGCACTCTGGGAGGCCGAGGCGGGCGGATTGCTTGAGGTCGGGAGTTCAAAACCAGCCTGAGCAAGAGCGAGACCCGGTCTCTACTATAAATAGAAAGAAATTAATTGGCCAACTAATATATATAGAAAAAATCAGCCGAGCATGGTGGCGCATGCCTGTAGTCCCAGCTACTTGGGAGGCTGAGGCAGCAGGATTGCTTGAGCCCAGGAGTTTGAGGTTGCTGTGAGCTAGGCTGACACCAAGGCACTCACTCTAGCCTGGGCAACAAAGCGAGACTCTGTCTCCAAAAAAAAAAAAAAAAAAAACCTCGGTCAATTCAGTCCAAAGGCTCAGACCAGTTTTGCACGTCAACAGTTTTATCTGAGTTCAGTGTTCCTCTGAGTTCTGAGAGGCACAGTCAGTGTTGCACTATTCTTTCTCCTTTCTTGTTGTGGAAGAAAAGTTAGATCCAAAGGAAGAAAAAAAATGTCAATTATATATAGCAGCAGGCAAGACAACGCTACCATGGTAAAGGTGGTCGATTCCTCCACCAGGCTATGCCAGCAGACTCAAAGCCCACGAGTGTCTGGCTATGGAGAAATCAACATTTCAGTATACATGGGGGTTGGAAGAGGATAGTGACACATTTTTTTCCTTCATTAAATACTTAGGTGGTCAGCACATCTTACTCCATTTGACCTCCCCACCTTTCACTCACAATGAAAGAAAATCAAGCCCTTTGACCTTTGGGCCATTAATAAAGGATTACATTTACAAAAGTTTTTAAAAAGTGGCAACAACCTAAATATCCTGGCCCACAGGCAGTCAAAATTATTTATTGAATGAATGTCCCAAAACAGGGAAGTGGTTAACTGAATTATGCTTCATACATTTTAATTCTATAGAATGAAATTGATGTAATGTATAGAAGTACATTTATTAACATGGAGAGAGGAGAAGTAAAAGGAAAAACAGTGAGAAAAATCAAGATTCAAAACTGTGATGATAAGTATGCACGTCCCACTTTTGTAAAAGTAAACATGTACATTATATGCATAAAAAATCTGAAGAAGTTTTTAGTTTAATATGGAGTAATTCAGATATGCAAAAAAGACAATGAATAACATAATAAACACCCATGTATCCATCATCTAGCTTAAGAAGTAAATTATTGCCAGTGCAGTTGAAACTCTTTTATATTCTTCCTTCCTTGAGGAAGTATATGCAAAATTAATAGTTGTTGAATGAATGAATGCTCATTGTAGAAAATTAGAAAATACGTGTAAGGAATGTGAAAAAACACCTTCTCCATAAACTAGAAGTTTCCTTTGATCCTACCATATAGATAACCCATTAATATTTTAGTAAATATCTTACTAGACACACACACATATTAAAGTATAATGAAATATCTGGAAATAATGACCACCAAATTCAGGATAGTGGTTGCCTTCAGAGGGTAGAAGGAAAAAAGAGAATGAGAGTTTGAGGTTGCTGTGAGCTAGGCTGACGCCAAGGCACTCACTCTAGCCTGGGCAACAAAGTGAGACTCTGTCTCAAAAAAAAAAAAAAAAAAAATAGAAGTGGACAGTAGACTCCTGATAGCTCTGAATCACAAGATAGCACTACGAGGGCTGCATCAATCTTTCACTCCCTCATGTAAATTTTTTTTAATTGCACAAATCAGAAAGATCCCATAATCCTTAGCAACTCCCAGCCTTCTCAGTACCTTGATCCTGTTTTCTCTGATGAGTTCTTCCACCACTCCCCAGCTTCCCAGCCAACGATTGTACCATGGACCTTGTCATCACTTTGCATCACCAGCTCTGAAATCTCAATTCTGAGCCTCCCTCTCTCCAGCTACAGCCTCTGAACCTTCCAGCTCACCAGCTCCAGAATGCTTATTTGCAGCATTTCTTTGTCCCCAGGAGGCTTCTAATCCATTAACTGGTCCACTTTCTCCCTATCCTTGGCATCCTTCATTTCCATCGTTGCCATGCCCAGATTCCAAGGAATTCTGCAAATACTCTTCACTCCTTTGCTTCACTTTCTCTCTCCTTCCTTTTCTTGTCCAGTAAAACCCCAATCTAGCTGAACCTGAACGCCTACCTTTACCATGACAGCCTCCGAGCAGCTGGATAAACAGGGCTGGAGGCATTCACACCTCGGCTGACCGGTTTCACGAGAACTGTGTGGTCACTAGTCCCAGATAGACACTCAGTGCTGCCTGGCAGTCCAATTACATCTAGGAAAGGTGCTTTTTCTCTCAGACAACTACTCAATGCTTCCCTACTTACCTCAAATTGCCCAACCCCTTCTCCAAAGTTAACAGACATATCTTACACACTTAATCAAAAAGAACAGCATCCACAAGAGATGCTCCCAAGTTGCTTTTTAGCAAATTGCCAAACCTCTCTGCATCTGCACTATTGGGACTGTCATTCTTCCTTTGAAAATGAAGACATAACCCTCCTGCCTTTAAGGAGTAATCCCCTTACTTCTATTCTCAAACTTGTCCACACTTGCCCCTTTCACTACTTTTTTTCTAGTAGCTTCTCCACTACTTTTTGGACCATAACATCTCTTTATTTCTACAGGGTCATTCCCACCAGTTCACAAATATGTTCTAGTATCTCCCATATTAAAAGAAAAACAGGGCCAGGTGCCAACACTGTGGGAGGCCAAGGCAGGAGGATCGTTTGAGGTCAGGAGAACAAGACCAGCTTGGGCAACATAGTGAGACCCAGTCTCCACAAAAATGAAAAAAAAAAAAATAGCTGGGCATGGCAGGAGGATCGTTTGAGGTCAGGAGAACAAGACCAGCTTGGGCAACATAGTGAGACCCAGTCTCCACAAAAATGAAAAAAAAAAAAAATAGCTGGGCATGGTGGCAAGAGCCCATAGCCCCAGCTACTCAGGAGGCCGAGGTAGAAGGATTGTTTGAGGCCAGAAGTTAGAGGTTGCTGTGAAGTTATGGAAGCAGCCAGCAGCGAGCGCAAGAAATAGAGGAGAGAGATGAGGAGAGAGAGAGACAGGACCGAGAGAGAGAGCGAAGAGAGGAGAGAGAGAGAGAGAGAGGAGAGAAGGAGAGAGAGAGAGAGAGAGAGAGAGAGAGAGAGAGAAAGAAGAGAGAGAGAGAGAGAGAAGAGAGAGAGAGAGAGAGGAGAGAGAGAGAAAGAAGAAGAAAGGAAAGAAAGGAAAGGAAAGGAAAGAAAGGAAAGGAAACGGAAAGGAAAGAGAAGGAAAGGAAAGGAAAGAAAGGAAGAAAGGAAAAGAAAGAAAGAAAGAAAGAAAGAAAGAAAGAAAGAAAGAAAGAAAGAAAGAAAGAAAGAAAGAAAGAAAGGCAAACCCTTCCTTCAGTCCATCAGCATCTCTTATCTCCCTCTAATTCATGGCAAAACTTCTTAAAAACTGTCTGTAATCCTTTATCATATGCTACCCTTCAGGAATATTCAACACTATCTGACCCTTTATCCACTGTTGTTTTTTTCTTTTTCTTTTTATGAAAAACAAAAAGAAAGAAAAAGAAAAGCAAAGCTTTTCTCTTGGCTTCTGAGGACACATTTCTTTGATTGTTCTTTTCCTTTAACTTCCTGGGCTCATTTTTCTTAGGCTCTCCATTGCTCTGTCCTCATCTTCCTAACCCCTAAGTACTCCAGCCCCCTTCTCTTCCCCATCTGCCTTTTTTCTTGGGTAACCACAGGCATTCCCACTCTTTTAAATATCACCTCTAAAGTGATGCTTTCCTGATTTTTATGTCTAGTCCAGACCTCTCCTCTTTATTTCACACTCACAGTAGCTCCAACTTCTCTATTTGGCTTCTTAGATATCTCACATGCATCTCAAACTTAGCATGTCCAAAAGGAAACTTGATTTTCCATCCCAGACCTGCTCCTCGGCCAGTCTTTGCCATTTCAATAAATGATGTAACTATCTACCCAGTTGCGCAAGCCAACAATCTTGGAGGCATCTGTGATTTTCATCCACACTCATCAGTATATGTCAGCAATTCTTGCAGCAAAAATATTTTTCAGACCTTGCAGCTCTCTCCATATCCTGCCTGATCCGGTTCCAGCTGACACACCTGTCCTCCCTCCAATTCACAGCGATGTCCCCACAGGGCTAGGAATAGGGTGAGGCAAGTGAGGTGCCTAGGGCATAAGATTAAAAGAGGACTTGCCCTGGGAGTGAGCATGACCCTTCCCTCATCCTAACTCCAGCCCTGACTAACCTTATCTCATTGTTTACCCACCCTCCCCCACTGCACTCACCCACACTAGAATTCTTCTTGTTCCTCCCCACAAATTCTGAACTCCAGTTGGCCTTAGGGCCTTTGCACCTTGACCTAGTACACTTTTCTTTCTGCTTGTCACAGGGCCGCCTCCTTGTCATCCTCTGGTCTCTAACTAAAGTTTACCTCCTCAGCAAGGTCTTCCTTGACCACTGTATCTAAAAATAGACCTCCCTTCCCAAATTAATCCCTATTACAGCACATTTAATCCACCACAATGAAAATCACAATCTATAATTATTTTTCTATTTATCTACTTATTTAATTCCCAACTCTCTCTCTCAAAATGAGCGCCATGAGGTCATGACTTGTGCCTGTTTGTACGCCACTGAATCCCTCTGACCGAACACTTGGCATGAAGAATTCATCTATAAATATTAAGCAAATGAATGATAAATGAATGTATGAATGAGCCAGATTAACCTCCCAAAAATTTGCCTTACAAAGATGATTTTATAGAGATAATGTTTCTGGAAAAACATATTACTCATAAAGTAAGGAACTACACAGTGTATAAATTAAGATTGTAGGAATTAGACTACAGGATTAAACATCAGTTTAACCATTTACCAGGTTTATGACCTTGGACAAGATTTAGTAGATTGCTCATCTATTGAAAAGGAGATAATAATAGCACCTACCTAGCAGGGTTGCTGTGAGGATTAAATGAGATAACTAGCCAAAGCCCTTCGTAGAGTGTCCAATACTTATTAAACAAAATTAATTCTTACATAAGATACTCATCTATGAAAACTGGGGAGACATGGAGTTTGAAAACTATTTTTCCTATATAAAGATGATTCATTCTCAGGAATGCAAATCAGTGTTCACTAATACGCCATCTATTATGTGCCAGTCTCTGTGCTAGACATCTGGCAAACAAACATGAATTATACATGGTTCCTGTCCCCCTGGAGTCAAAGGGTGTTGCCACAACCCAACCATTATAGCCCACTGTGTAGAATACTTGGCGTTGCTTAACCTATGAACTGCATAACCCACCCTCCCCCTATCTCTCCCTCACTCTACCCTCGCCCCTCAGTCTGCCTTCGTGATTGAAAACATGCTCGATCAGGCTAAGGCTCCTCACTGGGGACACAGGACAGCCTCCTGCTTTCTGGGAATCTACCTGGCCCGCTCTGGGTAATCATGAGAGCTCCACAGCCAAATTTTAGCTCACAATATTGCTCAACATTTATTACTAACTTCTGAAATAGTCTATTTTCAAGCCATCCACACTCCACTCGGCTTCCTATCACTTGGCAAACTCAGTCTTAGTCCTCCGGGAAACCCAGCTTTGACAGCTCAACTTCTAGGAAGCCATTCCTGATCCCCCAAGACTGGATTGAGTGTGCCCTATTTGTATTCCCTTATCAGGCAACCCTGCCACAGCCCTTATCACACTGAATTGTTATCATCTATCTCTCCCAGGTTGGACTATGAGCTCCTTCCAAGCAGGTGGTGCATCTTATTCATGTCAGCATTCCTAGTGTGTGGCATACACTAGGTGCTCCATAAAATTATAATAAATAAGTGAGATTTCTGTTTTCATGGTTGGGGCCTTTGGGGAATTGGGCCAAATTGTGGGGGGGGGGGGCAGAAACAAGAGAATGGAGATGAGGTGCAGAAAAATGTCCATACCACTATGCAGCAGCAATGCAACAAATTTCTAAGAATGCTTATGGAAATATGATGGGATAAAGTCCATTTCAAAAAGAAAGAAAACAAAACTACCTGTGATGGGAAATTTTCCCAAAGATTAAAATAAGAGAATGGATTTTAAAAAAAGAGCAGAGCACTCATGTATATAGTCCAGGCTAAGATACTTCCTTTGCTTTCCCTTAAGCTAGTTTCAAACTGCAGGTCAAGACCCATGTTTGAGTTATAAAATAATTTAGTGGGCTGCAATCAGCATTTTAAAAAAATAAGATTAGAACAGAATTTAAAAATCAGAGTGCGTCACTTGTAGTGAGGATAAATATTTGACAAAACTTTATTATTTATTTATTTTGAGACAGTGTCTCCCTCTGTCATCCAGGCTGGAGCACAGTGGTCTCATCACAGCTCACTGCAACCTGTAAGTCCTGGCCTGGTGCGATCCTCCTGCCTCGGCCTCCCAGAGTGCTAGGATTACAGGCATGAGCCACCTCGCCCAGCCAAAACGTTAGATATGTGTGTACAGATCATGATGTGACACATATTCATACTGTGAGTTGTGGTCAACTAAAATTGGGAAGCCACTGCTTAGTATATGCCTGTTAAGTTGGAGCCATGCAGCTAGGGAGCAGCAGAGTTTCCCAGGAAGAGAACCCTAGGGAAGTGGAGAAAAGAGGTGAATTTCTCTACTGAGGGGCTCTAGAGGAAAGACAAGGCCTTGAAAGGCGAGCAAGGATCCGGCACAGATGTATGGCAGCCGAGGACAAGTTTTGAACCGCTGCTGGAGACTGTAACTCTCAATCACTTGGAAGCCAATCCACCAACATCTTACCTTGCAGCGTACCCACCAGTCCAGTACTAACTCCTGAAATGACGTCACTGAGCAGCCACTCCTTGACTCGGTATTTGGGGAGCCATTCCAAGACGGGCATGAGACTCTTCAGCAGGCCAAAGGCTCTCTTTCTTGAACAACTGTCAAAAAGCAAGTGGAAACTGGGTTTCCAATTCAATCTCAGCATAACCAATTGCAAATCACTAAGTGATGAAATGAACTCAGCTGATATTTATAACTATTTAGAAAAAGAATAAGGATTTCATGCAAAATACTAACACTGAAGTGCTTACCATGCTTTTGCCAAGAATAACATCTATCGTTTTAAATGTACTATACTAGAAAACAGGATTAATTTTCCCCACCCCTCCTGCCTTTCTTATCCCCTAAGAAAATATCCCTACACAAAAACACATTTTCCTGTCCAGCCAGGGACTGATTAAAGTGGAGTCTCTAAATGGAGATTAATTTTCAGACTTCTAAGCCAGGCGCCTTCTTCTTATTATTATTTCCTTTAGAGAAAAACAAACACACTCTGTATATTTTGGCAATACAAGTTTGGAGCCAGTTTTTACAAACATCTTAACATGAATGTATACTTTGTACCTTCCTACTTAGTACTTTTTAAATTCAGCAACATATAGATAAAAGAAAAAAATCAAAAGTAGGTGGATATTATTTGACTGCTGGTTTCAATAAACTGTTTTTTTTAACAATTTGACATTTATAAGAAGTTTTAAACGACTCAATTTTTGATATTAAGGAATTATTTTTAGGTGTGATAATGGAATGTGGTTATATTTTTTTAAAGAGTCTTTAGAGGTACTACTAAAATATATAAAGACAAAAAAGATACACAGTATGGGATTTGCTTCGAAAGACACTGGAGGGGAGGGGGCAAGTGGGTGGTGATAGATGAAAGAAGATTAATTTGAGTTGATTATGGTTGAAGCCTGGTGATGAGTAAAATCATGCGACCCGGATTCTTTATGCTACTATGTCTACTATTGTATATATTAACATTTGAAATGTTCTCTAATAAAAGGTTTTTAAAAAGAAAATGTGGCAGTTAGTTAACGGCTCTCTAAGTTTATGTTAGTGGCACCCGCTTATGGGTGGCACATCTGGGTTTGGAGACTGAGGCGTTCCTCCGCACGCCGCCTCCTGCTGAAGTGCTTGGAGCACGTAGGCTCCGGGCAGTCTAGCTTTCCTCCAGGGTCCCTAATTGAATGTCCCCGCCTGCAAAGGACTCCTGCTCAGGTTACCCATGATGTCCTGTAAACTCTCCCCTCTCGCCCCCCTTTCCACGGTCGGGCCCTCACAAGCAGACGGCAGGGGCCCACTGCACCCCAAGGGGCACTCCAGGTTTCCTCCACAGAGGAGAAAGGGAGATGGGGCTCTCGGAACCCAGTCCCCACAGGTGAGTTTCGTTTCACCCTCCGACCAGGAAGGGTAGCACTGAGGACGGAGACCCAGCGTCCGGCCTCTGGGAGAAGCAGCCGGCGCCCCGGGCCGGCCGCCCGCATCCCGCGCCCGCCGCAGGGCACGTTTTCCCGCCCGCCGCCCCGCCGCCCCGCCGCCCCGCGCGGCCGCTACCTGCAGCCCTTGCTCAGGCTCTCCCGCAGCGTCTTGCGCTCCTGCAGGCGCCGCTCGTGCCTTTGCTGGAAGGCGAGCTCGCTGTAGACCGGCCGCGACACCACGTAGCTGTAGCTGTACTCGGCGAGCTGCGGCGCCTCGGCTCTGCCGCCCGGCCCTGCCATGACCTGCGCCGCGGGACGGCGAGGACGAGCGAGATGCAGCGAGCGAGGACAGGTGCAGGTGAAGAGCGAGGAGCGGGAAGAGGGAACCACCTGTTAGCTGCCTCCCGGCCCCGCCAGTCGCCGCCGACCCGGGCGAGCCGGGCCCGCGCCCTGCAGCCCCCGGCGTTGGCGTCTCGCCGCCCCACGGCGCGCCCCGCCAGCCCGCAGGGGGGCACCTGAGCACCTTGCAGTCCCGGGGCCTGCACCTGCTGCCCGGACCCCACCCCCAACTTCGATGGGAGTGAGCTTCGCTTTGGGGGCTTCCAGAGCTCGACCCAGTCCCTCCCGCGAGCTGCTAGGGCGCTGTCCGCGTCCTGAAATCTCCCCCAGACCAGGGCTGGGGCCGGGCCCCGGCGCGGGCGAGGCGGAAAGGGGACCCTGGGAGCGTCCCTCCCTCCCGGCACGCGGCCCAGGACGCAGCCTCAGGCGAGCCCTGCGAGAGAAGCGCCGGCCCGGCCCGACGTGGGACCCTCAGGGCGAGCTCCCCGGCCCCGGCTGCGTGCGCTGCGGGCAAATTCCAGCAGCGGTCGCCGCGCTCCCGGAGGCAGAACTTTCCTCGGGTGGAGCAAGTCTCTCCCCCCGACCTGTTCTCCTAGTCTTAGAAAGAAGGCTGCTCTGGCCCCCGCCCGCCCGCTCCTGCCCCCTCACTGGTCGCATCCTCAGCCGCCGGTGGCTGCCGGGCGACACCGCGGGCCGGGCTGAGCTCACCTGCTCTGCTCGCGCCCCGCCCGGAATGCCCCGCGGACCGCAGTCCGCTGCCTTTATAGCGCTCGCCCGGCAGTGGGACGTTGTATTTACGGAGCAATAGAGACACCGTGGTCGAAAGGAAGGACACACAGGCTGCGGTCTTTCCCTACCAATCCTATCAGGAAAGAAATCCTACCCCACCCGCATTCCTTTCCTTTCCCGAACCGGGAATCCCTTACTGCTGTCACACAGGGGCCACCCGGATCCTCACTCACCCCCAAATTATTAATGCGGGCTGCCAGGTCAGGGGCTGGTCACCCCGGTGGGGCAGAGCCCCGCGAAGAGGAAAAGGTCATTAATCATTGGGACTCTGACCTTGACTCCCAGGTTGTGAATCAGGGTACCCCACAGTCTGGCACAGGTGGGGAGGAGAGAGGAGCGGTGCCAGTTTTCTATATTAATAAGCCTTTGGGTTTCTAGAAAGTCTTTTAGGAGTAGTCTGTGGGTGGAGGCTGTAGAGAGCTTATCACTTACTTATGAATTTTAGATAGACAGTCTTTTAGATACATACACATTTCTCTCTGTGGGTATTATATTTCACAATCAAAATCAGTGTCCAGGTGGCACCTATCTTACCTGACTCTTTGGTTTTTCTTCCTTCCCATTCATCTGGACAGTGTGGGAAGGAATAAACTGAACTAGACAGGTGTGGAGACTGGATGAGAGTGAGGGGGACTTGAATCTATCTGACCTCACCAGTGTTTTGTCTTATGTTGGGATATTTTTTGATAAAACTGACTGACGCATGGTTAAGATGAAGGGCAGAAGGAAGGGTTTGGTGAACCAGAACATTCTCACCTGATTATCAGTGTTTGAAAATAAATACAGAAGAGGCTTCCAAAATATTAGTTACCCACCTACCAGGGAAATACAGACCATGACAATTCTACAAGCTCTGGGACACAGAACTTCTCTTAGGAGAACCCTAGAGTAAATCCCCTGAAATTGTACTCAATATGGTGGGAGAGTGTGTGTTTTTCTGAGAAATGAATGAGTCAGCAGCTTTCAACAGATCTTCAAAGGCTTCCTTGACCCAATGGGATTGAGAACCATTAAAGAAGCAACCTAAAAAGAAAATCCACACTATGAACTTTAGAATTTTTATCCACCTGCAGAGGAGAGGAAAGGAATCTCTTGTGTATGTTTAGTTTATGTATTCCAGTGGTTCTTAACTAAGGGCTATTTTGTCCCTACAGGGCAATGGCTGTAGCCTATTTTGGTTGTCAGACTGCAGTAATGCTATAGTAATCTAGTGAGTAGAGGCCAGGGATGCTGCTCAATATCGTACAATGGAGTCTGCCATCCCTCTAAGGTTTTATTGGAGATTTAACATGTACATTTATTAATAAATTGCTACATATATTAAAATACGCATCTCTCTACATATATATGTATATGTGTGTGTGCATTTCTTATAAGTAGTATATTATCATTGGGTCTATAACTCAACACAACTAAAATAGAGGCAAGTATTCGTTTTAAAGTAGATTCTGAATGTACCCACTCTCTACACTCTCACATGTACCTTCAAGGTCCAGTTAAAACATTATCTTTTCTATGAACATTCTTTAGTGCTCTCAGAATTAATCCAGTCCCTTTTCTGGATTCTCTGGACACCTTATCTGATCCTCCCTTGAGGTGCCTCTCACTATCTACCTTAGTATCTTAATTTCATTTACATACAAGTCTTATCTCTCTCACTAGACAAAAACTTCTTGAGGGCAAGCACTATGTCTCCTTTCAACCATCACTACCCACTACCCTCTATCATGTTTTCTGAACAGAGTTATCTATAGCCCAAACATACTTTTTTTTTTTAACTAAAAATCACTTTCCATGTTGGTCTACAACTTTTTTTTTAATTAAAACTATGTGATGGATATCTTTGCAAGTGAGTACATGTGGGTTTTTCTTAACCTTGGCAAAGTCTGTCTAGGATGTCAAAATATGAACTCATATACATGGCTCCACAGTAACTCACGTAGATGACTCACAATTCTTTATTTTTTTTTCCTTTTTAAGAGACAGGATGAGATGGCAGATGACGGAGGAAATGGATAGTGCCCAGGCAGAGTTCAATGCCTTGAAACGAACAGAGGAAGACCTGAAGAAAGGTCACCCAGAAACTGGAAGAGATGGTTACTTGTTTAGATCAAGAAGTAGCTAAGGTTGATAAAAAACATAGAACTTTTGAAAAGGAAGGATGAAGAACTCAGTTCTGCTCTGGATAAAATGGAAAATCAGTCTGAAAACAATGATATTGATGAAGTTATCATTCCTACAGCCCCACCATACAAACAGATTTTAAATATGTATGCAGAAGAAAATGCTATTGAAGACTCTATCTTTTACCTAGGAGAAGCCTTAAGATGAGGAGTGATAGACCTGGATGTCTTCCTGAAGCATGTACATCTTCTGTCCCGTAAACAGGTCCAGCTGAGGGCACTAATGCCAAAAGCAAGAAAGATTGCCGGTCTCAGTGACCTCTACTGACTTCTCTGATAATCAGCTGGAGATTGAGCTCATCTTAAAACATTCTTTTCTTCTTTTTCTTTCTCTTATCAGTAGGTGCCCAGAATAAGTTATTGCAGTTTATCATTCAAGTGTAAAATATTTTGAATCAACAATATATTTTCTGGGTTTTTTTGGTAAAGACTGACTTTTACTAATGCACTTTCTATCTCCTCTGTAACCTTTTTGTGCTGAATGTTGGGACTGACTATGCTAAATAAAAAAATCTGTTGCATAGAAAATAGAAAGGCTGGAGTGCAGTAGCACAATCATAGCTCACTGCAGCCTCCAACTCTTGGGCTCAAGGGATCCTGCTGCCTCAGCCTCCGAGTAGCTGGGACTATAGGTATCACCATGTCCACCTATTTTGAAAAAAACTTTTGTAGAGACAGGGTCCCCACAGAATACCTTGATAAATTATGACAATGTAATGGGTCATGGATAAATACTTGTTAAATTATTGATCAATTGATAGTTTCATGATGGGATTTGAGAAATCATGGGGTAGGAATGACAGTAATTTAAAAAGATGAGGATTCATCCTTAAAAAAAATGAAAAAAAGAATTCTAGCCATCCATTCAATTTAAAACCACTTATAGTGTCAATAAAAATATAATTTTATAAATTTCTCAGACAGTAGAGGCAATCTTGCATTCTTTTATATGAATCCAAACTTGATACGTGGTTTAGTAAATTTGTCTCTTGCTAACATAAAATAATGGCATAGGTTTTTTAAAATTTTTGTTTTAATGCAATTTCTCTCTTTCTTTCTTTCTTTCTTTCTCCTCTCTTTTTTAGGGAAGGGGGGTCTCATTATGTTGCCCCCAGGCTGCAGTGCAGATTGCTGTTCACAGGGGCAATCTACAGCTTCAAATTCCTGGCTTCAAAGGATCCTCCCACTTCAGCTCTCCAAGAAGCTGGGACTATAGGTCCCTGCCACTGTACCTGCCCAATAATGGCATAGTTTTCTAAGCAAAGAATGATTGGAGAACCCTTGCAAGTTTCTTATTATTTAAGTATATTGCACTTTTAAAGTTATCCTTGTATGTCTTTTTAAATTTATTTATTTATTTATTTTTATACGAGGAGAGAGTGAAGAGATGAGTTCAATTTCCTTTTTTTTTTTTTTTTTTTTTGAGACAGAGTCTCACTCTGTCCCCTCGGTAGCATGCCATGACATCAGCCTAGCTCACTGCAACCTCCAACTCACGGGTTCAAGTGATCCTCATGATGTCCAGTTAATTTGTCCATTTTTAGTAGAGAATGAGTCTCACTCTTGCTCAGGCTGGTCTTGAACTTCTGAGCTCAAGCAGTCCTCCTGCATCAGCCTCCTAGAGTGCTAGGATTACAGCATGAACCACCGTACCTGGCCTATCTTTTATATCTTATCTCATGAATTCTGTGCTTTGTTAATGGAAGGAAAAAAGGGAAACTTGAGGGTTGTTTAAAGTAAATACTGATGTACCATGTTATAGTGAATCAGATGTTTGAGTATTCTGTTCATTCATTTAATCAATCATTCATTAATTCATTTATTCACTCAATGAGTATTTATTGTGCTGCCTACTCATGTCAGCACTATCTTAAGTGTTGCAGATACAGCAGTGAACAAGTCTGAACAAGTTCCTGCCCTCAAAGGACTTATATCCTAGTGGGGGACAATGACTATCAGCAAACAAATAAATCAGAAAATATTCTGTCATGGTAAAAAGCTGTGGGAGAAATGGAACAGTGTCTTGTAGAGTTATTGATGGGAGCAATGCACAGCATGGGGAAAGAGAGGACTACGTTAGAGGGGGTGGTCAGGGAAGGCTTTCCTCTTACTGAGGAGGTAACATTTGAAGAGAGAGCTGAAGCATGAGGAGACAGCCTTCCCAGAAGAGAGAACAGCAAATGCAAAAACTCTGAGTCAGGAAAGAGCGTGATATGCTTGAGAAACAAAAAGCAGGCCAGTGTGACTGAAATCCACATATATCAGACCTGGGGATGGCAAACCGGAAGGCTTCAGGATGTGTGTGGCAAATAAAACCAGGCATTTAGGAAGAGAAAGCAGACAGCTAAAAGCCAGCACCAAGCCGTTGGGTAGCCTAACATTTAGAACTCATTTATAGCAGTGGGATGGGGGGTCTTTTTTCTTCTTCTTGTAAAATGCAGAACATCCTCAAATTCAGGTGGCGAGGAAGAAAAAAAAAATCTCTACAATACTTTGAACTTCTTGTGCATTTCTTGGAGAAATGGCCTCCAAATAAACTGGTTTTTGGTGTCTATATCTTTTAATGACACATGTAAAGGGGAAGAAGTCATTTTAAATTTATTTTTATCTGTTTATTTTTTTCATTGCCTGAACGTTTGGAAGAAAAAAAGCTTAATATATAAAGTGTATTCAATTGTTTCTCATCATTGCATGTGTAATTAATAACTTTATCTTTTTGGTGATGGTGGCACCTTATGCGCAGTTATTTCTCCTTAAAAGTAGTCAAGGACTCATGTAGAGCTCAGCAGAAACTAATCTAGGCAATCGCGTTAACTACTTTTGGTGGAAAACAGCATATCTGAGACAGTTTATCTTTCTTTTTGGGGGAGATGCTGGTTGACAGCTACTTTATAAAGAATGCTCTTAAAATTTGTTCATACCCTCTTAATGAACTATACATTAATAACAACACAACCCTAGAATCTACTGTTTAATTCTTCCTTGAAAATGGATCTTAAATGTCAACAGAGAGAAAGCCTGTTAAAGGGCATAGGGACAGACAGGTGTGGCAGGCAGTGAAAGGAGGGAAGGCAGAGGCTGAAGAAGGCTGAGGAGAAAGAAGCAGAGGACTGGGAACACCTAGGGGAAGACCAGGAGGCCGGTGCATTGCAGTATTTGCGCC